ACGCCTTCCGGCCCTCTTTGCTCCTCTGTTTTGTGAAGGAGGACCTGTGCCGAAACACACCCAGCCTTTTGCCCAGGCCTGATTCCTGCCCTGAGAACTGGTTAGCTGGCAATAGCCATTGTGTTTCTTAGGACGAGGTTCCTCCATGGGATCCGGTCTTCTCCTCCTCCTCCTTCACCCTAGGCCATAGAGAGACAATGGCTTGGCCCTCTCCCATTCCCTTGGCCGAGCTGCACTTGGAGGAGGAGCACCGGTCTGCAAAATGCCGCTTTTCTATAATAACGGTGATATTTCTGACATTGTTGACATTTTATCCTAATATTATGTTAGTTCCGTTCTCAGTCATGAAAACAGGTTTACTTTTTTTTTTTTTTTAAGATTTATTTATTTATTTGAAAGTCAGAGAGGGAGAGAGAGAGAGTTCTTCCATCTGCTGATTCATTGCCTAAATGGCCACAATGGCCTGGGCTGGGCCAGGCTGAAGTCAGAAGCCAGGAGCTTCTGGGTCTTCCACGTGGGTGCAGGGGCCCAAGCACTTGGGCCATCTTCCATTGCCTTCCCAAGCACATTAGCAGGGAGTTGGATTGGAAGTGGAGCAGCCAGGGACTCAAACACGCCCATCTGGGATGCCAGCGCTGCAGGGAGCAGCTTAACCCGCTGTGGCACAGCACTGGCCCCCAGGGTTACTTTCTAAGAGCACCCCTTTAAAAAGCCCCAAGCTCTGCTGATCCGAGCGCCCCTGGGACAGACGTAAGGAGCTAGAGCAGATAGTGGATGGAGGGGCTTAGAAGTCAGGACAGAGTTGGCAAGGACGCCACAGGATGCACAAGACCAGGGAGTGGGGAGAGCAGCGGCTCCCAATCCTGACTTGTGTCACTCTTGGTGGCTCTTGTTAAAACCCAGCTGGCCAGGCCCCAGCCCTGGAGATGGTGCGTTGTACGTCTGGGCTTGTGGCAGGCAGCTGTGTTTTCTAAAATAACCTCGAGCAGGATTCTCACTGAGCAGGGCTGAGAAACCCTTGAGAGTCTCAGGCAGCAGCACTTAAGAGGCATTTGTTGTCTGTGTTTATCAGGGATCCTTGATCAAAAGCTACTTGGTAATGACCAATGACTGGCGATAGTGTTACCAGAATGGCCTCCCTGGGTGAAACCAAGTAGTGTCTGGGAGTTCACAACCTTGTTACAAAAAAAGACAAGCTCATTGCAAGTTCCACCATTATAGCTGAACAGCAGACTCTGAAAATGGTTATGCATTCTGAGAAACATGATAGTTTTTACTTTTTTTTCTAACAGATGGCCAGATCTTGCCATTCTAATTAGCCTACCTCTCCAATACTTTTAAAAAATATATTTATTTAGTTATTCGCCTATATATTTGAAAGGCAGGGTGACAGAGGGGGAGAGAGAAATATCTTCCATACACTGGTTCGCTCCCAAATGGCCACAACAGGCAAAGGGCCAGACTAAAGCCAGGAACCAGGAACCAGAATCCAAGAGCTTCATCTGGGTCTCCCAGGTGGATGCAGGGACTCAAGTACTTGAATCATCTTCTGTTTCCCAGGCACATTAATAGGGAGCTGTATCAGAAGCAGTGACGCAGGAAGTTAACCAGCACTCTGGTATGGAATGTTGGCTTTGCAATGGGTGCCTTAACCCACTGTGCCACAACAACCACTCTGATACTTTTTAAATTGATATGGGGGCCACCGCTGTGGTATAGCTGGTAAAGCCACTGTCTGCAGTGCCAGCATCCCATATGAGCGCCGGTTCGAGTCCCGGCTGCTCCACTTTTGATCCAACTCTCTGTTATAGCTTGAGAAAGCAGTAGAGGATGGCCCAAGTCCTTGGGGCCCACACCCACGTGGGAGACCCAGAAGAAGCTTCTGGCTCCTGGCTTCCGATCAGCTCAGTTCCAGCCGTTGTGGCCAATTGGGGAGTGAACCAGCGGATGGAAGACCTCTCTCTCTCTGCAACTCTGCCTTTCAAATAAATAAATAAATCTTAAAAAAAAAAAAGTACTTCCTGTCGACCAACAATCTGGACTTTGGAAATGCTGTGCCTTGTCTCTTTCTTCTTCCTGCTGATTCTTTGTCCTATATCTCTTCTATTTAAAAAACATTAAAAAATAAATTGATTATGGCTTCAGAATGAAAGAACACAAGATGTCTGGGTTCAAGCACTAAAAGAGATTGTAGAAAACTGACTTGAATCCATCTTTAGATACCATTAGAAAAAAGGGATACTTTTGAGCCTTAATTTACGGAACCGAGTTTAATTTTAAATTTTGATTAACATATAAAAATAAGATGACATTTATACTCCTTCAAAGTGTTTGCATGATCCTGGGAAAATCTCTTGATCCCTCTGTGTGTTCTCTTGGTTTCCTGATCTGTACAATGGGATAATAACAAGGCCTCTCTCACAGCCTTTGTGAGAATTAAATGAGACAACATATGTAAAGCACTTAGCACAGTGCTCCAGGCACATAAATGTTCAAGAAATATCAACTTAAGAAGTGTTAGACATAAGGCTGGTGCTCTGGTGCAGCGGGATAAACTACTACCTACAGTGCCAGCATCTCCTATGGGCACTGGTTCAAGCCCTGGCTGCTCTACTTCTGATCAGCTCCCTGCTAATGAGCCTGGGAAAGCAGCAGAAGATGGCCCAAGTCCAAGACAGACATGTGAATATGCATATAAAATATGCATGGGCCCCCGCACCCATGTAGGAGACCCAGATGAAGTTCCTGGCTCCTGGCTTCAGCCTGGCCCAGCCCAGGCTGTTGCCGCTATTTGAGAAGTGAACAAATGGATGCAAGAGCTTGCTCGCTCTCTCTCTCCTACCTCTGACCCTGTCTGTTGACTCTGCCTTTCAAATAATAATTTTTTTAAAAAAGTGTGAAACCAATCACTAAACAGAGCTAATACTGACAGTACCACTTAACACTCAATGCTTCAACATAGAAGCACCATAACATCGATTTAAACTTAATTTCTCAGGCCTCTGAGAACAAGGGCATTTTCCTGAGATACCTAGAACACTTTCAAGATGGACCACGTGCCTTGGCTGTGTGAAAGATTAACTTTATAGATGGCTTTGGAGACTCACTTCCCGGAGAGCTTCTGAGAGGTGTGGCTGGGCCTGGTTAGATGCCAACACAGTACAGCTCCGGAAGCTTCTGCTTGGTTTTGTAGGGGGCGAAATAAGTGTGGAGCCCTTCCTGCAGGTACATGTTGCTGCCCTAGCACCAGTGTGACTGTGTTTAGAGACAGGGCCTTTTCAGAGGTCACTAAAGTTAGATGAAGTCCTACATGTGGGGCCTTGATTCAGTAGGACAGTAGAGAAGAGGAAGAGCACATTCCCACCACCCCTTCTGCTGGCACCTTGACCTCAGACTTCAGCCTCTAGAACTGTTGGGTAAAATGGTACTATTGTTTAAGTCACTGGGTTTGTGGGTTTCTGTTATGGCAGCCAAAGCTGTCATCCAACCATGCTGGGGAATTGTGGTGTACTGGACAATTTTGCATAGCTATAATGAAATGCCCCAGGTAAGCTGACTTTAAAAAGAAAAGAGGTTCCAGTTGCGTAGACTGGAAGCTTGAACAGCTAGGCACAGGCTCTGGCACAGGCCCCAGTTAGCCGCATCACCCCATGGTGGAGGGCATGGTGGGAGCTCATAGAGCAGGAAGGGCTCCATCTCCAAACAGGAGGCCAGAAGAGAGACGAGGGTCCCACATCCCTTTAAAAGCCATGCCCCAGGGAATCACTAGGTCCCACCTCCTAAAAGTCTCACACACCTGACATCGCCACACTAAGGACCAAGCCTCCAGCACATGGAACCTTGAAGGATAAACCCCATTCAAGTCAGCAGTGGGCATCCTGAGTAATCAATGATTCTTCTATCAATTCAGCAGAAGACCCCCTTCTTTCTGATAAGCAAAATAATAAATTCAGGCATACAAAGAGAAACAAATTCCTTGCCTACAAGGAGCGTACAATTTAGTGAAAGACAGACATGAATATGTATTAAAATTTAAACAAGCGCCACGATCCCCAGTATGTACAAAATGCCATGGGAGCAGAGGGGAAGAAGACACCTACAGGTCATCTGTGTAACTGGATAAATGGTGATATCGCTCATCCAATCTGGGACTCCCTGAAGAGGAGAACGAGAAGTTTAAGGAAGAAGGAAGAGTTCAGGTTTTGTTGTGTTGAGTTTGAAATGCTTGTATAACACCAAGCCAAAATGTCCATAGGCAGGTGAATGAGTGAGTCTAAAACGGAAGTGGAAGATTAAGATTAGAGACTCATATTTGGAGCTCCTTAGCACATGTAGCAGATGATGTGCATGGCTGATACTGCCTTGAAAGAGTGTACTGGGGCCAGGGCTGTGGCGTAGTGGGTAGGGCTGCTGCCTGCAGTGCCGGCATCCCATATGGCCACCGGTTCAAGTTCCGGCTGCTCCACTTCTGATCCAGCTCTCTGCTATGGCCTGGGAAAGCAGTAGAAGTTGGCCCAAGTCCTTGGGCCCCTACACCCACGTGGGGGACCTAGAGGAGGCGCCTGGCTCCTGGCTTTGGATTGGCGCAGCTCCAGCCATTGCAGCCAATCAGGGAGTGAACCAGTGGACGGAGGACTCTCTCTCTTTCCCCTTCCATCTCTGTGTAACTCTGACTTTCAAAGAAATAAATAAATCTTTTTTAAAAAAGTGTATTGTAGAGGGATGAGAGTGGGGGGTGGGAGGGTAGGTATGGTGGGAAGAATAACTATATTCCTAAAGTTGTACTTATGAAAGTTATATTCCTTAAAAAATAAATAAAAACAAATAAAATAAAAAAGAAAGAGTGTATTGCATTGAGAGCCACTGTGAATCACCAACATTTAGAGGGCAGTCAGAAGAAGGGCAAGGAAGGGCAATGGAAAGAATAGAGAGGCAGACGGCAGCCAGATGAGAATGAGTGGGGTCAGAAAAATCAAGACAGGACTTCCAGAGAGCCTCGATATTTTCAAAATATGAGTTTAATGACAGAGTTAATTAGCTATAATTCCACAAAAGGATTTCCTGATTTTCAAAAAGTTTGCACGGTGTTTTACACTTGTGTTGAGAGATTGAGAAAATAAATTAGAGCATCATACTGCACACTTAGCACTAGAACTACCAAGCACAGTGTAATGTTCAGACCATTTGGAAGGCACTTGGGAATTTTTTCAGTGCCCCAGGGCATCATTATAAACTCCAATTATGGTTGCCCTGGTCAGCCGTGGGAGCATTCATTGACTGCTGGACAGAGCAATCTTTAGTCTAAGTGGGAAGGCACATGAGCAGCGACAGAGAGCCGGCATTCAGGTCCCAGCTCAGCCCCGGAAGCCAGCTGACCCATTCAGAGACATTAACCCCATCAAAGTAAGGAAAATCTTGTATCCCTCCCCCACCACTGCTGAATACTGGAGACTTGTCACATACCGGGAAGTTCAGAGGGCAAATTAACCTCCCACCCCAGTATTGGAATCTGCTGGAAATGAGGGTGGCACCTGCACACCTGTTTCAAGGCCTCTCTGCAGTCACTCAAAGGCTTGGACCTGAGTTCATCATGGTCTGACTCACATGTGGGATGAAATGCTTAATAGAGCCAGAGAAGCTGATTCATAAACCTGTTTAGAAGGCTCAGCCTTCCCTCCAGGGGCTCCTCTTCACTTAGGAAGGACCCTCAGTTGATGTGCTAGGCAGGGGAGATAAACTGCCTGATCGTGTGTCTTCCCCGGCTCTGTGTACAAGGTCACTCCACGCTTGTGAGTTAGCAAGCTGTTAGTTCCGTTACTGCCATCGCCAAAGACAACAAGGAAACCCAAAGCGAGGTGCCGGGGGCTTGTTCTCCCCAGGCTGCCAGACCCCAGCAAAGTCATGACTATTAACAATCTAACAAAGAACAGGAGCTTTCTTTCCATGACGGTCAAAGCAGTTCGTGTGAGAGTGATTCCTCCCCTGTCCCCAGTGAGTGGGATGGCTGGACCCGGCAAGGCAGCTGCTGAACTGTGCTGCTCCGTGCGAGTTGGCAGTGGAAAGAGAGGCCGGGAAAGGGAAAGGAGCTGGCTGGGCGTGGGGCAGGGCTGCTCACTGCTGCCTCGTGCTGTCTGCACAGTAGTGGATAGCTGTGACTTTGTTTTCAGCGGAGTCTTATAAAATTGGGGCTATTCATCATCCTCATCACTGTCATCATTATCCTCCTCATTGGAGTTGCCATTGTCGTCGTCGTCGTCATCATTGTCATCGTCGTCATCTTCATCTTCATTGTCATCATCTTCGGTGTTGATCTTTCCGGAGAGCACGTCCTCAATCCAGTCTTCCAGCTCCTCAGCTGTGGGCAGGTCATCGTCGTCTGGAATCTCCATCCAGACACTGTCAGCCTGCAGGGAGGGGAAGGAGGAGGGAGGCGTGAAGCTGCGTAGCTTCAGCCAGGTCAGAGGGTTCCACGTAGCGGTGCTCAGTGGGTCCCAGGACTCATGCACTTATCAGGAATGTATGCACATTATTACACGGAACAGCCAACCTGCACAATGATGTGTGTAATGTCCTGTTTGTGTGACATGGAAGGAAACGTATATACCTGAGTACATGAAATTTCTAGTAGGATACCGTTGCAATAACCACCACTGGATCCTCAGGGGATGGGACTAGGGACAGGTCAGGGCAGTGAAAACTATTTCTCCTTTAGGCTTTATGGTCTACTGTCCCATTCTACATTCTTACTTGAACATATCCTCAAACGACTTGTTGTTATTACACTAACTTTAAAAGCAGTGCACAGAATAAATGGAGGCTGAGTTCCTCTGCTGCTTGAACAGAACAAAAGGATGTTGTTAACCGCTCCCCATCCCCAAGGGATTCCAGCTCAGTCATCCATGGCTGCAAGGGCATCTATGTGGCCATCCTTGTCTACCCATCACGTCCCTGGCTGTGTCTGCCCCACTTCTGTTCTGGTTTGCTGGGGCGGGATCAGGTGTCTTGTCTGAGTTCTAAAAGCACTCCCCTTCTGCCAGTCCTTGACTCACACCTGGTTTCCTTCCTGCCCTCCGAGAGGCCTGGAGGCCTGTTGAGGGGTGCTGGCCACAATGGCCCATCATCCCTCACTGTGCAATGAGAGCTCCAGGTGGGTTCCCTTGTGTAAAGACAGAGACCTTGTTGGCTGGTGAGGGGGTAGGGTGGGGGGAATGGAGATAAAGAGATGTTTATGTGGGTGGAGAGCTCCAATCAGTGAGTTGTATCAGATTGGCCCCATAAGCAAGGATGTGGGCCATGGGAAAGAGTCACGCTTTCATAGATTGGGACTGGCTCAGGGACCATGCCTGGGCCACCCCAGCAAGTTTCTGGAGTTTGGGCAGGGCCAAGGGTCCTGTCCATTTCTGAAGGGGCTGCATGCCTGTAGATCAGGGGTGGGGAATGCCTGAATAAGGCCCATGGTATCTGGTCTGTGTCTGTGCCAACACAACCACAGGTAAGACTTGAAATTCAATCAATTTTAAGTTGCTCATTTTGTCCAGCCTGTGAATTATGCTGTAAATACCCAAATAGGCCTTGGTAGAAAAAGGCTCCCAGGCCCTCCTAAAGACGATCTCACAGTCTGGGCAGCAGGGCAGGAAACGGGGCAGGCCGAGGGCGCCTGCGGAAGCCGTCCTGGGAGATACTCACGTCCGTCACATTCACCACCCCAATCTGGGGCTTGAACAGGTCAATCTTGAAAGTCTTCTCCCAATAGGCAACAAGCTGCAGCAATAAAAAAAAAATAAGCTTACACAGCAGACGAGGCTACTCCCTATAAAAGGCCCATCTTGTGGCTGGACCCACCTGCCAGCCCACCACTGTATCTGGGTCACCAGTGGTGCAAGGTCTTTAAAACAGCTGTGGGTACTTAGAAAATTGAAGACTTGGCCTCCATCTCAAGCACTTTAAATAAACATTAAATAAAAGATGTCATAGCACAAACTATGAGAACACGTAATGTAAAAGCTCTTACAGCTGTCGGGAAGGCTACTGCAGAGATGGCCCAGTTCTGATCCCCAAATTCCTTGTGGATCTCTTATTCGTTTATGAGTAGGGAAAGAGCCATTTACTTCTGCTTCTCTTTCAATGGCCCATTTAAAGAAATCCGTTGTCTTGACATGGACATTTGGCACAGCAGTTGGGACACTTTTGGGTGCCCCCATCTCATATTAGAGTGCCTACGTTCCAGTCCAGCTCTGGTCCAGAGTCCAGCTTCCTGCTAATGTACACCCTGGGAAGCAGGAGGTGATCACTCAAGATGCTGAGTTCCTGCCACCCATTTGGGAGACCTGGGTTGAGTATCTTCCCTCTGGCTGTAGTCTGACCTAACCCTAGGTATTGTGGGCCCTTGAGGAGTGAACCAGCAGATGGGAGATCTCTCACTGTCTCTCTGCCTTTCAAATAGTAGTAACAAACAAACAAACAAGCAAACAAAAAGAAATCCTGGGTTGGGCATTTGGAGCAACAATTAAGTCACCACTTGGGATGCCCCCACTGCCCAGAGTGCCCAGTTGGAGTCTCGGCTACTCTGCTTCCTGCTAAGCACACCCTGGGAGGCAGCAGATGATGGCTCAAGTACTTGTGACCCTGGCATCCAACATGGGAGACCTGGATTGAGTTCTGGGCTCCTGGCTTAGCTTGGCCCAGTCTTGGCTGTTATAGGTACTGGAGAGTGAACCAGAGGATGGACTATCTCTGTCTCTTTTTCTCTGCTCTGAAAACTTAAAAAAAAAAAGATTTAAAAAGACCCATGTGTAAGTAATAATACTGTATACATTTTTAAAATCCCTTACTTTGTGCCACTTTGCTACATGAGAGAGACAGGAAAGCAACGATGTGCTGTAAACTGACAGAAAAGTGACAAGAGGGTTTCTTCATTCAGCCTGGCTGGGGTACATGTGGACGAATCTTTGGGGCAGAATGCAGGGATCCAGGGGCCAGGGACCACAGTGCAAAGATGATGGAAAGGGTTGGAGGTAGAAAGTCTCTAAAGAACAGATGTGGCCTGATGGGGACCGGGGGGACTCAGAAATCTGGAAATCAGAATAGTCGCAGATTCTTTCTTTCCAAAAACCAGCAAACACATAGAGCTGGCCGGAAGAACCGGAGACCATCTGCAAGCTTGCATAATAAAACAGTGCAGATAAACTCAAGATACAACCAGGCAGAAGCTAAACAAACAAAGCTGTACTATGAGCAGTAATATGTGGCCATGACTTTGTTATAGTTGCCCAGAATTACGACATTGGCCTCCAGTGTCACGGAAGTCTCTGCCTTTGATTCACCCATTCTCCACATAGGGCTGGGTTCTCAGACCCTCGCCATCACCAAAAACCCTCGCTTTTCTCTATGTAAGCAAAGTCATGACATAGGCAACTGATGACAATGCCTGGAAGTTAAGTTACCACTTATAACCTGCTGCTAACTAAATTTGTACTGACTGCCAGTGAGTTCTCACCTAGAGCAGTCACTCGACTAAGCTTTGGCGTTCCATAGATCTAGATTGGAAATCACAACTACCCTTCCCAGCCCAGCCTCTCCAGCTGTCATTCTTTTCACCTGTATGATAGGGAGTCTCACACCACCCACATCACAAGTTAAGAGAATCAGCTCTGCTGATGCACTTGAGGAATTTCACTCTAGTTCTAACACAGAGCATATTAGCTCTGCTCATTATTGTTACCACTGGGTCTGTGGATTGCACACATTCTGCTTATTCTTCTTAAAACACAATCAAAAGCTTTCCAGGTATTAATCATTATGCTGGGTTCTGGGAAGAACATGATAAGCAAGATAAGCACGGTCTCTGTCCTCGCAGAGGTTACTCCCTCTCTGCACAACGTGAACTCCATGCAACATGTTCATCGCTGGTTTTAATTACTTAGTAATTCAGGTTCCCTCAGAAGGGAGGTCCCCGCCCAGAAAATGAAAGAGGTTATAGGGAGGGGTCATTGTGGGATGTAAAAGAATCTGCCCAGCTCACTTGGGTGGTCCCCTCTGAGGGTCTGCAACTTCCGGTCTCCAGAGAGTGCAAACAGTAAGTGGAAGCATTTCAGAGTCAGCACCAGACCCCAAGTTCAATGCCATTCCAAAACAAAGATCTCCTACACTGGCTGGGGTGGTCACTGGGGTTTTTCCAAGTGCTCCTACGAAGTTCAACCCTCCTTCATGCTTGAGAATCGTGGGCCTGACACAAACACAGGGCTGTGAAGGCAGTGCTAGGGCCCCGGTCTGAGCCGCTCACCAGAGGAAAGTCGTCCGGGTCGATCCACACGATGCTCAGGTCCGGGTTGTCGGTATTGTCGCGGGCCACCTGTTTCAGGATCTCCAGGAACTCATAGCCATCTGAAGCACAGGGTTCAAAAAGACTGAGTAACCCCTGCACCTACAGGACTTCAGCAAGGGGAGCAGGGTGTGGTTTACCCACAGGGGTTCTTGGGCTATTTGGTGCATACCCTCAACTGCAGGATTGGGTAATAAAATGACTCGGATGACAGCTGCAGCCACAGAGCACGGGATACAAAGGAAACAACAGAAAAGAGCGTGGGACGCTGAGTGCTGTTCAGCCGGCAGCCAAGTTCCAGCGTTCCTCCACCCTGGGTCAGAAAGCTCAGCCCCGGGACAGAACTCACACCAGCCTGCTCTCACTGACCCTGGGCCAGCTCTCAAGACACCAGACTTGCTGCCCCTCAGAGCTTCCCACCACATTCACTGTGTGGACCAAGAACATTCCCGTCTGGACCCTTGACTGTCTACCACTTAGAATTCCTCGAACCTGCAAACGGAGGGAGCTGCTGATTCATAGAGCTTTCACGGCTTCGAGACGGTCGCTGGGGTCCCCCGCCCTCCCTCCCCATGTCCTTGCATCCTCCGGCCGCCCTCTCTTCAGTCAGCAGCACTAGCTGCTCCCAGGGAGGGCTGAGTCAGAGGAAAAGCAGGCACAAGCCATACAGGCTTCAAGAACACAGACTTTTAGCTTTGGAAGTCTCAACCACCAAGCACTGGGAGAATTCAATTTTTGTCATAAGCAAATGTTTTGGAAGATTGTTCGGTAAGACGTAACGTGCTGCAACCCTCAGCACTGCTACCCTGCTCCAACTAGAAACAGAGAGTTCAGATTCTGTCAGGTGCCTGAGAATAAACTCTGTGCTTGTGTGTGTGTGTGCGTGTGTGTGTGCATGCATGTGTGTATGCCTCTGCGTGTCCATGTGTGGGTAAGCTGAGAGGGGAGGCCATTTGAGGCCCTGCAGCTGGAATGCAGAGGACCAGTGACCTGCTTAGAACAAGGGTTGGGGGCAGACTGAATGACAGACTTCCCAGCAGGTGCCAGGGAGGCCAGATGACAATGACCCCATTGTGACAGATGTCCACATCTGAGATCCTGCAAGATCTAGACTCCATGGTGGGGGCTGCGTGGGGCAGACTCAAAATAGAAATTTGGAGGCTGACCCTGTGCTACAGCAGGTTAAGCCAACACCTGCAATGCCAGCATTCCATATGTACACTGGCTTGAGTCCCGGCTGCTCCACTTCCCACCCAGCTCCCTGCTAGTTGGCCTGGGGAAGCAATGGAAAATGGCCCAAGTGCTTGTGTCGCTGCACTCTTGTGGGAGACCTGGATGGAGTTACAGGCTCCTGGCTTCAGCCTAGACCAGCTCAGGCCACTGCAGCCATTTGGCAAGTGAACCAGCAGATTCAAGACTTCTGTTTCTCCCTCCCTCTGTGTCACTCTGCTGTTCAAATAAATACATAAATCTTTTTTTAGATAGAAATTTAGGTTCAGTTCTAAAAATGAAGTGTATTGCTTGCATAGCTGAATTTGCGGCCTAAGATGTCTACCTGTGCACCAGCAGCTCACCAGCAGCCAGGAGGTGAGACATCTGCCCTGTCTTTGCAAACCTGGGCTGTTCTGTGGCGTCTGTGTGACAAGCCTCTCCTTTCCAGGTAAGCCCACCTCTGGTAATTTCGCCACTTGGTAAAGGTTGTTTCTCCACTTCTCATCTCATACATCCCAGGCACAAGGCATTCTACCCCTGGCAGCTCCACTGTGTGGGTGTGGTCACTTTCAACACTGATACTGAGACCCCTAAAGCCTTAGTTCCTGGCAAGCAGAGCGACCTCTAGTGGAGAAGAGAGTCTTTACAACCTGCAGCTCTTTCCTGCACAGGTGTAGGCTGGCCTGAGGGATTTTTCCAACCGATGCTCCTATCCATATTGCAAATGAGCTCATATGACAAACAGCTGAGATGGAAAACACCCTGCAGCTTCAAAGTTCATTACCTGTCATTGTGGGGATGAAGATGGAGGTGGGGGTGGGGGATGGGGTGCTACTCCCACCGCCTGGGGGTGGACTCAGAAGGTCATGCCCCTTCAGAGTGTCATCCCTGGATACTGCAATGTCTCATGGAAGCAGGTGGCTGTGCCAAGTGAAATACATACCACTCTGGTTATCTGTGCACTTACGGATCATAAGACACAGACCACACAGGTGACTTCCTCCCTAACACCTGCTCTTAGCTGCAGAGAAGAAGGGTATAATAATTGTTATCATTATGTAATAATGATAATCATCACTGGAGGATTCGATCCAGATGTAAAAGTGACCTTGCCAAACCTGAAATTCACAAAGAGGATGGAGCTCAACCACACAGACCCAGATTTCACTAAAGAGTAAATTTGTGCCTGTTTCACAGAAGGGAAAAGGAGAGACTGCCCATGTACAAGATGGCGGAGGAGCAGTGAGAACCGTACACTGGACACACAGCCTAACCCCCGGGTTGTCAGATGGAAAAAATCTGCACGATGCTGGCATTTATACAAAGGAAGGGTAGGTCCAAAATTCACTCTGCATTCCACAGCAGGGCCAGGAACAAGAAGGAGTGAAAGAATAAAAATCGGTTTCTGCAAGAAGAAGCAAATGGATCGGAGTTTTTGCCTATGCGAGAGAAGTCTAAAGTGTGGCTTCAGGCCCACTGCGAAGACTAAGCAAGGGTTTTTGTGAGGAAAACAAGCTCTGTGTCCATGGGGCAGTAAGGAGTGCTCAGAAAGCCCTGCACAGAGCAAACTAATAAATGAGGCCGATATCTAAGCCACGGCAGCTCCATCTCCATCCACGGGCAGCTCCTCTGCTTTCCGGGAGACGGGTTCCATAACGGGCAACCGGCTGGGGCTCTGGTCATTGTCAACAGAATAGAGCTCGTTGCCCAGGGAGGCAGTTCACCGTAACACTTCAACACGCAGGCCACGGAGCCAAATGACTTCGGCTCTGACGCTGGTTGTGTGTTCAGCGTGTGAGCTGCAGCAAGTTTTTGAATGTCATGTTTTTTTTCCATTTGCAAAACGGGGTTGATGACAATGACAGTACCTGCTTCGTGGGAGCACCTGTGGCTTGAGTGAGTCTGAGTCTAAGAAACACTTACCACATCGCAGGGTTTGGTCTTGATTCCTCCTAAACGTTGGAAGGCAGGGGAGCAGGGTGGATCCGCTAACCCTGGCCGTTCATTTGCTCCTGCACCACGTGTGTATCAGTGCAGACAACTGGGCACCAGGACGGGCTCACGTGGCAGGGGAGAAGCTCCCAGGAAATGACACGACAGGATGGCGATGCCAGCAGGTGCAGCCCTGAGAACCCTGCCTCCATCCTTGGGGTAGAACCAGGTTTGATTTCTTTGTTTAGAAGGCAGTAGCTTCCTGGGGAACTCCTGATTCAAAGCTTACCAGCCTCAGCGGCTCTCCCCCCTTTTCCAGCCCCCCAGCCTGGATGGCAGACCTGTCCGAATGGACACACACACACATATCTGGGAATGCAGAGAGAAGACGGTCAAACAGTCTCACACATATTCAGTTGCCAAAATGCAAAGTCCCAAGTTCACTTTGTCCCCACCGGGAGCTTCTGTGCAGGGCCCCCTCACTTGGCACTAGCTCAGGCATTACAACCCTGGGGCTGCTGTGACTTGCCCAGCATCTCAGGCAAGCGAGTGGCAGAGCTGGGAGGTGCTGCCAGCTCTTCAATCTGCTGGCTTCCCTCTCAGGTCTCATCACCCTTGCCCGTGGGGCTGCCAGTTCCCTTCCTGGAGTTCCAGCTGGAGATCCCCAAGCGTTCTGTCAAAGCTTTGACATCAGGGAAGCCTGGGCTGGGAAACCAAGGTAACAACAGCCTGGCTCTGACCTGGGTGCTGGCAGGTGGTCCCTGCCCTCCCCATGCAGCATGGTGTCACCGTGCCCCCCACTCTGCATCTCCTCCCCACAGCCAGAGCACAGTGACCCGGCCTGGAGCCTCAGACATGGGCTAAAACGAAAGGAGCCTGAGCTGTGAGATTTCCGATCCCTTCCCCTCCACGTGAGTTTGAGGCCTGCGAGTAGCTGACCAGGGCCGAAGGACACACGTGCAGCCAGGTTTCCCACGACCCAGGGCCTCCGGGACTCATCTCCATGGGGTAAAGCCGGTGATTATCTTTCCTGCTCCCCTGGCACAGGCCTGTGGGAATGTGCCTGCCCTGAGTCCTGGGGGACCAGTTCCAGGCCAGACACAGCCCTTTTGGGAGCCAAGGTCCCATTCTGGAGAGACATGTGGTCCCAGGCTAACTAAGCTGTGGCTAGGGAACAGAACAGTTCGGTTTTGTGATGGAGAGGAGCGTAAAGAGGGGGTCTCAGGCATACAGAGTGGAAATCCTGCTTCTGCCACTTCTGCTGGGGCTGCTCTTGAACTTGACTCCCTGGGTCTCCTTGCACTGGGACAGAGTAACAGTAGCTGCCTGGGAGTGGGGATGTGAAGATAAAATGCATTGACCTGTGTTAAGTGCTAGGAATGACATTCAGGACCTAGTAAGAACCAAATACTACAATTTAACTCTGAAAGCTCTCAAACAGCAGCTAGCATCCCTGGCTGAGACAACTGGTCAAACACACGTGTAAGAAGACGGGCAGTGGCAGCCGGCGGGGAGCGGGGCTGAGACAGTCCCAGCGCCGGCTTCCGCCGCAGACAGCAGCCTGTCCTGGTGTTCCCGGCTTGTGAGTGCTAATAGGCCTTTTCCCCTGAAGAGTACCCATCCGGAGCGCACTCATGGAGAAACCTCTCATCTGGGATCATAAAGAAGATGTCAGCCTGCCGCCGCCGCCGCATCTAGGAGTCTGGGAGCGCGGAGAAAGACAGTCGTTCATTCAAACCTGTTAAACAGGCAGCTCTGGCTGGCCTTGGGCACACGAGCCCGAGAGAAGGCTTCGGGGATGGAGAAGCAACCTGCCAGAGTGGGACCCACCCCCCAACCCCCCCCCCCCCCCAGAGATACCCTCCCGGCCGGCCGGCCTGCCTGTGGTCACTGCAGTGAGAACTTGCAGGAGAGACGGCCTGCTATGGACTGAGCGGCGGGGAGGCCTGGCTGCCCTCGGGTCCGTGCTGGGTCAGGTGCACTAGACAGCGAGGCCCCGGGGCGCCAGTCGCTGGTGTACACATTTGCCACTGCTGCTCTGTAATCAGACTGCCCATCTGGGGACATCAGCGGAGTGTGGGAGGAAAGCGAGCTTTTCTTCATTCATGGAGCGCTCAAGCGTCCAAGCGGCTCTGCGCTCCTCGCACCCCTCTGTGCCCCTCCCCGGTTCTCCCAGCCTGCGGCCCTGCCACTGCGCATGCCCGGAGCCCCCCTCCCCCCCCCCGACTGCGGCGCTGCAGGGATGGGGTGTGACAGCGTGGACCTGGCCCGAGGGAGCCCTTGGGAAGTCGAGGCTTGTGTTTGTACTGTGCCTGTAACCCTGTGGTGGTGGACACGCCACCCACCGAACGTCCCTGGGTCCTGCAAATGTTGGGGAGTTGGAGGCGTGGTCAAGGACAGAGGGAGGAAACCCTCATGAGTGGCTCAGGAGGCCAGACGCCTCTCAGTTTAATTCCACCTGTGCTGCTTCCCAGAGCTAATCCCTCTCAAGTTCAGTTTGCTCAGCTGTAAACTGGGAATGAAAATAGTACCCCCTTTCACCCCATGTATACACGTATAAGAACATCACACTGCACCCTGGAAATGCTTTGTATAGTGATCAATCAAAACATTTAAGTCTAAGGGCTGGCTTTTAGAGGCAGTGGGTTAAGCCCCCGCTTGCCATCCTGGCAATCCAGCTGGAATCCCAACTCTTCTACTTCCCAATCCAGTTCCCTGCTATGCACCTGGAAAAGCAGCGGAGGATGGCCCCAGTGCTAGGGCCCCTGCACTCATGTGGGAGACCTGGATGGAGCTCCTGGCTCCTGGCCTCAGCCTGGGGCAGCAACTGGGGAGTGAACCAGCAAATGGAAGACCTCTCTCTCTCTCTTTCTCTGTGTTTCTTCACCACCCTCCTCACTCTGCCTTGCAAGTCAATTAAGAACGCTTCTAAAAAAATGTTTTAAAGAAATGTTAGAAACCCAGTCCCTCGCTCAGGGGGCTGCTACATGATACAAGCATACAGTGATGTCATCGGCGCCTACAGCAGCAGCAGAGGTGAGGAGAGCCTGCTGGAAGCTGCGGCTTGGCTGGGATGCAGTGAGAGATCTGGGGAGGTATTTCAGCTCTAAGACCACTCTGACACTGACGCACATATCACAGAGTGGCTGCAGGAACTCAGTGAGGTCATCTACATAGCACTCCTAGCTCCTCCATACCGTTAGCTCTTTAAGAACTGGATTTATGACCTTCTTCCTTTGGTGGCTGGATGGGAGTCTGGCTGGGGCAACCAGCTGGGTGTAACTGGTTAGTAAGAGCAAAGGTATGCGAGGACCTGTGCTGTCGAGTGTGCGGAATGAAAATCCCAGTCCTGCAGCCAGGCCCTGGGTTACACATCAGTGCCCTGTGGGTGAAGCACTAAGTCACCGTGCCAGGAGGCTTTCACAGAAAGGCCTCTCCCTCCCCAGCTCCAAGTGGCCAGGGGCTTCCAGGGCTCCTGCCCATCCCACCTCCCCTCTGCATGGCTTACAGATGCCCTGTTACAAGCCCCAGCTTGGGCTCCTTTGCAGAAAGAAACAGCTTTGGGCCCAGGGATATTTGTGCAGGGAGGAGGTGGAAGTAGTTTCGGGAGCCTGATTCATTACAGCCACAATCTCCGTCAAACAGGTTCCTGCAACTCAAGGGAGGCCTCTTTGTTCCATTGTTCCCGAGGGCCAGACGGGCCTCCCCACAGTCCTGGAAGGGAGCAGGCATGGCGGGAAGGAAGGCCCTGGAGTCTGGCCAGCAGGCAGCTGCCGAGGGCAACTTCTCTGTTCACACACACCAGGGATCTGATCCTGTTTAATTACAGCTTGTAAACCTTAGGCAACTGGCTTCCATGGCTGTTTTTCCCTCCAGGGGTGGAGCAGGGGCCAGAGTCTGCAGAAAGAAGCTGAAGCCACACTGGCTTTGGAGGTGGGAGAGGGGAAGAATTTACCCGACTCTGCAGATCTAGCATTAGAAACCTGACACACCAGTGGACATTCCAAAAAAAATGCGATGGAAAAGGTGGGGAAGCCCTCAGGTAACTTGGAGCATAAATCAGATTTGGAGATAATGGAATATTACTCAGCCCTAAAAAAGACTGAAGTGTTGATGCATACTGTGTATAGAGTCGTCCCTTGGATTCTGAAGGAGCTTGGTTCCAGGATCCCTTGCAGGAACCCAAATCTGCAGATGCTCCAGTCCCTTATAGAAGGTGGTATAGTATTTGCCTGCAGCCTGTGCACCTCTTCCTGTGTACTTTAAATCATGTCTGGATGACACAATACCTAACAGTGCAGACGCTGTGTGAACAGTTGTCATACCGCATCATTTAGGAAATGGTGGCAAGAAAATAATCTGCCCGTGTTCAGTACCGCCGTAAGCACTGTCGGCCACAGCTACACCTTCAGTCCTCATTGGTTGATTCTGCAGATGTGGCCACAGAGAGCAGGCTGTGACGGATACACTCAGAAAACAGGCTAAGTGAAAGATGCCAGCCACCAAAGGCATATATTGCACGACTCCATTTATATAAATTTCCAAACCAGGCACATCTATAGATTCAGTGATTCATGGTTTGGGGGTGGGGCAGGAGGGGGACAGTGGGGAGGGGCTGGGAATGGGAGTTGATGGAAAGGTTCTGGAATTAAACCAAAAACCACTGAATTGTACACTTTAATTATGCTATGTGGATTATGTCTTTATTCTGAAGATTGTATGTTTTTTTAAAAAAAATTGGATTTGGTCTATAAGAAACTATGGAAGGTGACAATGTATTGCCACAACTCCTCCCCCCCCAACAAAAACCAGCTGGTCTGTTGTGCAGAGTTGGGGCCTCAGTCTTGGCCAAGCATCATCTGCCCAGCGCATACTCTCTGAGCTCCCACTGCACACCAGGACGCTGTGCAAGGGTCAGGTACATGTCAGCCAGCAGACAGGCTGGCCCTCCGGCTGCTACCTGCGTTTCAGTCTGTTAGCATCTCGATCCTCTGTTCCCTGGTCCATGCATCTCTAGATCTCTTCCCACGAGTGCACGAGAGGCTGAGCATCCTGACAGGTCCACGTATAGCTCGTTGGGAGCTGCGGTTCCCACGCCTGGTGGCGTATCGTGGCGTATCAGAACCCGCTCAGGACCTGGTTCGAGTTGCATTTCCCAAAGGTGCTGTCTCGGCCAGGCACAGGTAGCCCCAGTGCTTGCAGCTCTGTGCACTGCAAGTTGGGGAGCCCTGCTCAGCCACCTCATGGGCCAAGGCCTGGCCTTAAAGCCACCCTCAATGATGTCCTGGCCTTCTCTGGCCCTGTCCTGACTTGTCCCAGGTCTCCCAGACCCCACTTCTGCCTTCCGTTTGGGCACCCTGGGTCTCACTGAGCACTGCCTCAGGGGACTAGCATTTTACCACCTGCAAATATAACTTCACTCCACACCAGTGCTGGGAAGACCGAGACCAGGGGAACGTCGCTGGCCTTTCAAACACTTGTTTTGCCTGGTCCTGGGTCTCATCATTTAGCGGGCTGTTTCCTTTTCTGTCTCTCCTGCACAGACACTAGGGTACAGCTCAAAGGACGTGTTTATCATTATTTTCAGGTAGGACTGTGGTTGAAACAGGCTGGATCACAAGATGGACAAATAAACTTGCCACGTGAACAAAAGTTCATAGACACGCACACCCTACAAAGCGAGGATGTTTCAAATACGCTCCCAAAGGCCCAACACAGCTTCCCAGTTTGGGCAGCTGGCAGAATGTTCGCATTTCCCGTCTGTCCATAGCTTCTCCTCCCTTAGCCATGTGCACAGTTAAACCTTACCTAACAGGTGACCACCTGGGGGTGCCCGATAGCTTCCATTGGCTTTGTAGATGGGCATTGTGGTGGGGAAGAAGGGGAGGGCTGACAAAGGTGCGAAGTCAGCTTTCCTTGAAGGCCTGAAAGAGCAGACTGGGGGTTGCCTACCTGGGTCACTCTTCTCTGCAAAGGCCACAATGTGGATCCCATTCAAATCATCTTCCTGTGGGAGGAACGAACCCAAGGTTACACTCCCGGGTGGACAGATACAAAGGCGTGAGCCAGAGACAGGGACTCAGAGACAGGGATGGAAACAGGGAGGCGGGGGGAGGTGCTGATGGCGGATGGACACAGAGGCGCCGAGCAGGGCCACCGCACACTCAGGAGGGGGATGCTGATGAGCGACTGGCAGGGATGCATGGAGCTAGGTCGGAGGTTTGGACAGATGGGGTTGCAAGACAGGAAGCCACCAACTACACGCAAGACACAGGCACTAAGTGAGGTCTCACTCCCATGATCTGATGTGTCCAGGAGAGCAGCAGCAAAAGACAAAATGAGGAAGAAAGTGAGTCTGGCTGGTCCGCAGCTGCCAGGGCAACAGGCACGGTAAGGGGACCACAGTGCCGGAGGCCGTCAAAGGGGGAGGCAGCGCATTGTGAAGCCTCTGAATGCTGCAGACGGAGCCCCACACTCCCCCATGGGCGGCAGACAGGAAGCTCCACCGCCAGTTAGGATGTGGTCAGTGATGTTCACACCCGGATGATGTGCGGGTTAAGCCACCGCCTGCGATGCCGCTATCCCGTTTGAGTGACAGTCCAAGCTCCTACTGCTCCACTTCCCTTCTAGCTCCCTGCTAATGTGCCTGGGGAAGCAGCAGAAGATGGCCCAAGTGTTGAGCCCCTGCTACCCAAGTAAGAGACCTGGATGGAAGTCCTGTCTCCTGGCTGGATGTTGCAGCCATTTAGGGAAGTAAACCAGCAGATGGAAGTCTCTCTCTCTTTCTTTTTATCTGTGTGTGTGTGTGTGTGTGCATGTGTGTCCCTGTCTATAACTCTGGCTTTCAAATAAACAAATCTTTCTATTTTTTTATTTTTTTAAAGATTTATCTATTTATTTGAGAGGCAGAGTTAAAAACAGAGAGAGGGAGAGACAGAGAGAAAGGTCTTCCATCCCGAGGTTCACTCCCCAAATGGCTGCAACAGCATTTGTAGCTGGGCCGATCCGAAGCCAGGAGCCAGGAGCTTCTTCCAGGTCTCCTATGCATGCAGGGGCCCAAGCACTTGGGCCATCTTCTACTGCTTTCCCAGGCCATAGCAGAGAGCTGGATCAGAAGTGGAGAAGCTGGGACTTGAACGGGCACGCATATGGGATGCCAGGGCTACAGGCGGAGGCTTAGCCCACTATGCATAGCGCCAGCCCCAACTAATCTTTAAAAAAATGATGTGCAAGTGTAGCACTTCTCTGTGAGACTGCCAGCACCACTGATTGAAGAACTAGCACCCAGGCAGTAGGTAGAGGACATCTTGCTGGCCGCCCTCCAGGTGGGTCCATTGGTCCTTTCTGCTTTTCCCCAAAACCTTGTGGGATCAGAATAGGTCATTTCTGCCAGCATGGGGTGCTCCAAGAAGGGTCTGGGGAGGAGAGGTGGGCATGGGTGCGGAGGATGAGGCAAGGACGAAGCCAGGGACATTTCACATCCATGGGGCAATTTCATGCTTCTGCATCCTGGACAGGAAGGACCATCTGCCTTGTGTCTCCTGTGCATTGATTATTCCTGGGAAGGGAGGAGGGGGAGCTTGGTGGGGACTCTATTATGAGAAATGTGATCCTCTGGGGAGGAGAGGAGTGTGTGTGGGAGCGAGGTGTCTAGGGACAAAGCCGAGTGAATACTGATCATGGCTGACATAGAGAGAGGTATTCGCTGGACACCCTGAATGTCATCACAGAAGCACTATACAGGAAAAAAAAAAAAAAAAGAAAAAGAAAAACTCCAGGCATCTCCACCCTCCCCTGATCTCAGCTTACACTTCAGTTGATTTTAATGCTGGAGCAATTCTATCTAAATGCTAATTTTTCTTCTTCTTTTTTTTTTTTTTTTTTTTTTTTTTTTTTGCCTTTGAGTTGGGGATGGACAAAACCTCCAAAAATTCTAAGAGAGATTAAATGGAAAACATTATTATTAAAAACAAGAGAGTAGACACTGCCTTGGTCAGAGTGTCTGGGGAATTGAATTTCTGTGAGTGTGTGTGTGTGCGTGTGTGTATGTGTGCGCACACGGGTTTATTACACAAATGCGACAGCAGCCAGAAGGCGAGTGTGCGGTTTCACTGTTTTACATTTGCTATTACTGCCAGACAGCACACCTCCATCAGTTCTCATTAGGCTGCTCTGTGTCTCTGTCTCCTGCCATCAATTGGAAGTGAGGGCTGTGAAGTCCGCGAGGCACGCTTCATTTCTGTGTGCCCTTCTAGAATGCATTTGGAAATTGGTTTTTACAATTCAGAATCCATATTTGTTTTCTAAGAGGCTGCTTATAAAATGGCTGTGGCCCCAGGCCTGAGAGGGACCCCGGATGGAGAACGATAGCCAGAGGCCAGAGCCCCTCCCTGTGTGTGTCTCAACGACTGAGCACACAGACCTGCAAAGAAGCCGTCACATACTAGCTGCCCGGCATTTTCCATCAGAAACTCACAGAGCAAGAAAGCAAGGGCAAGCCAGGAGCTGGGGTTACCCAGCGAGACCGTGTCCACAGGCGCGAGGAACAGCTGTGCTGATCACGGCACTGAGCAAGCCAAAGTCCTGGAGCCAACTCGAGAGCTTTCTCGGAACCCACAGCCTCTGTAAACCCCATCACTCATTTGGTCGTCCGATCCCATTGCCTTGGAAAGCTCTTTTTAACAGCTAGAATCTTCTTTTTCTCAGCTAGATGGCAGGTTCTCCAAGGGAATGGATAATGCCTTAAGTGAACAGCAAGGATGAAAACGGTGCCAAGTATCTGTCACTTGCTCCTTTTCTGTGTAAGTGCTTTGTAAGGACATTATCTCTAAATCTCAAATGAAAGTGTTATTCCAAAAGAATGCGATGACTTTCCTAAGGCCACAGAGCTGGTAGTGCCATTAAGTAGGATTCAAGTCAGTTCTGCCTGGCACCAAAGCCCGGTTGCCTTGGTCCATTAGGGCTCCCCTAACAAAAAAATCACACACTCGTTGTCTTAAAACCAATGGAAACTTATTTCTCAAGTTCTAGGGCCATAGGAAGTTCAAGATCAAAGCCCATGGCACAGGCCATGTCTGGGGAAGGTACACTTTCTGGTCCACAGAGGGCACTTCCTAGCTGTTCCTCACAGTGGAAGGGGTGCGACAGTCCACTCTACAAGGAACAGTGGTCTCGAACCTGAGGGCAAGGCCCAGTCACCTTGCAAAGGCCCCACCTGCTAACATCATCAACACATGGGGGACACGAACAGGCCAACCACAGCGTCCACACCTTTCCTTCCTCACCACCAACCACACAGCAGAATGGGCTCCGTGAGCTGATTGCCCACCCTGCCAGGGGTTGCAGCACTGAAAACACGGAACAGTGGCTTTTAAGTTGAACCAGGAAGGCCCATATGCAAACTGGCCAAGTACCAGATCCCGGAAGGAACCGGAAATCTCTGAGTGACTTTGGCGATGGCCTTCCTCTGGAGTCCCCCGCACTTCGTACACCTGTGCATTATAGCTGTGAGCAGACCGGGCTAGCCTGATGTCTTAAGACCATTTCATTCCTCAAAGCTCCTCCAGACAATACAGCAACACTCACACTATAAGCTCTATGCTTAGCGCAATGTAATCACATCTTACCAATGTGTACTGACTCAAAAATGAGTCTGGGCTCAAACATCTCACAGAGTCATTGAAGCAAATTAGAAAATATCAAGGATGCCAAGAAGAAAGGAACCTTATCAATTACCCAGCAACCAGATGAGTTTACCATGGAAGGTTTTTTTTTTTTTTTTTTTGACAGGTAGAGTTACAGGCAGTGAGAGAGAGAGACAGAGAGAAGGTCTTCCTTCCGTTGGTTCACTCCCCAAATGGACACCACGGCCGGCGCTGCGCCAATCCAAAGCCAGGAGCCAGGTGCTTCCTCCTGGTCTTCCATACGGATACAGGGGCCCAAGCATCTGGGCCATCCTCCACTGCCTTCCCGGGCCACAGCAGAGAGCTGGACTGGAAGAGGAGCAACCAGGACTAGAACCCAGCACCCATATGGGATGCTGGCGCCGCAGGCAGAGGATTAACCAAGTGAGCCACGGTGCCGGCCCCTGTGGATAATATTTTGTGCTGCTTCCTTCATCTCTGCTGAATGCTTGTTCTCACGTCAATGAAGAGACAGAAAGGAAAACACGCAGTTAAGACCAGCAGGCTCTCCACCTACGGAGCAATGGAGTGACACAGGGCTTGTAGGGGAGTCCCTGGCCGCACCACGGAAGTGCTTGGCTGTCACAAGAGGGGAAGGGTTCTTTTAGAAGTGACTGCAGACTCCCCTCCCCATGAGTCTTGCCAAGGACTCTGGTTGACTGCTTGCCAGAATGGAGGATGGAGACTCCAAGGGGAATTCCATCAATGACAGTTTCCTGATTGTGGTAAGTGTGACTATGAGAGAAAGTCCTTGTTTTTAGAAAACACTTGAAGTATTTGTGGGTAAGGGGAATTGTGACTGCCCCTACTCTCAAATAGTTCCATATATATATATATATATATATATATAATTGTTATAAATTTTTTTTAATTAAAAATATTGGCACAGTGGGTTAAGATGCTGCCTGCAGTGCTGGCACCTGATATGGGCTCTGCTTCACATCCTGGCTGCTCCACTTCCAATCTGGCTCCCTCCTAATACATCTGGGAAAGCAGCGGAAGATAGGCCAAGTCCTTGGGCCCCTGCACCCATGTGGGAGACCTGGATGGAGTTCCTGAGTCCTGGCTTTGGTCTGACTCAGTCCTGGCTGTTGCTAGACTTGGGGATTTGGGGAGTGAACCAGTGGAAGGAAGATCTCTCTGTCTCTTCCTATCTATCTGTAACTCTGCCTTTCAAATAAATAAATCATTTTAAAGAATATAAATATATGCAGATAGAGAACATGACAAAGAGAAAGGGGTAATCTGTTAACATTTAGGTAATCCTGGTGAAGAGTTCATGGAATTCTTTTCACTATTTTTCTAGGTCTGGAATTATTTTATACTAAAGCAAAAACAACTTTAAAAAGGAGTATTAGTTTTAAACCACTGTTGTACCATTTTGTTATTGTTCTTTTCAAATCCAGTAAAAAAGAACTTTCAAATGTTGATATCTTGAGGAGATGAATGTCAGGAAAACAGGTCTCTGCCATGTTGGGCCCACCCCTCATGCCTAGACTGCTTGTCCTTCACTGTGTTGTGAAATGTTCGCTTTCCAGGCTGGCACTGTGGCTCACTTGGTTGGATCCTTCGTATGTGGCGCCGGCATCCCATATGGGCTCTGGGTTCTAGTCCCAGTTGCTTCTCTTCCAGTCCAGCTCTCTGCTGTGGCCTGGAAAGGTAGTGGAGGATGGCCCAAGTGCTTGGGCCCTGCACCCGCATGGGAGACCAGGAGGAAGCACCTGGCTCCTGGCTTCGGATCGGCACAGCACGCCGGCTGTGGTGGCCATTTGGGGAGTGAACCAACGGAAGGAAGACCTTTCTCTCTGTCTCTCTCTCACTGTCTATGACTCTACCTGTCATATAAAAAAAAAAAAAAAAAAAAAAAGTTCGCTCTCCTTCAGATATCCAGAGAAGTCACACTGCAGTCAAACAGCCAGTGTCAGGTCATCGCTGGTTCTGATTCCTTTCCATGTTAATCCCTTTCTCCCCACTCCCCTACCCAAAATGGTTCCTGGTGGGGACATGGATACTGGAGAGGCTGTGAGACCTGCCTCCAAACAGCTTTAATTTAAGGCCTAAAATTGGGCTGGCGCTTTGGCCCAGTGGGCAAAGCCCTCACCTGCAGGGCCAGCATTCCATATGGGCGCTTGTTCAAGTCCCAGCTGCTCCTCTTCCAATCCAGCTGTCTGCTGTGGCCTAGAAGGCAGTAGGAGATGGCCCAAGTGTGGGAGACCTGGAAGAAGCTCCTGGCTCCTGGCTTTGGATGGGCTCAGCTCCTGCCATTGTGGCCATCTGAGGAGTGAATGAGTGGATGGAAGACCTTTCTCTCTCTCTGTAACTCTGCCTCTCAAATAAATAAAATCTTTAAAAAAAAAAGTTCAAAAAATCAATACTTGATAGTAATGGGTTCTTGAGTGAGTAATCTATTTATATGATTGTCACCTGCATGTATTTAATGGGGCTAAAACCGCACTTGCTCATGGGACATTGTTTTCTAAAGCTGTGAGCAGGTCTATGGAACAGGACATGTGAAATGCTCTGGGAAGTGTCCCACACGCTTTGGCTGTGTTGTTTATGGAGTTCTGTGTAAAGCTGCAGCAGGGCGGGAGTGGTTATCTCCAAGGCTCTTTTTCTCATACCAGTTTGAGCCACCTGGCATATTTTTCCATAATGCAGAGCAAGCTGTCTCAGCCACTTCCACTACCTTGAGCTGAGATTTTAAAAAGTGGTTACAGAGCCGGTGCTGTGGCACAGCAGGTAAAGCCACCACCCACAGTGCTGGCATCCCATATGGGCGCCAGTTCAAGTCCCAGCTACTCCTCTTCCGATCCAGCTCCCTGCTGTGGCCTGGGAAAGCAGGAGAAGATGGCCCAAGTCCTCGGGCCCCTGAACCCATGTGGGAGACCCAGAAGAAGCTCCTGGCTCCTGGCTTCAGATCAGCACAGCTCCTGCTGTTGTGGCCAATTGAGGTGTAAACCAGTGGATGGAAGACCTCTCTCTCTGTCTGCCTCTCTGTAACTCTGCCTTTCAAATAAATAAATAAATAAATAAATCTTTAAAAAAAAGAAGTGGTTACTATTCATGAGTCATGTTGTGAACTCTTTATGTCACTCATCCTTATTAAAAAATCCCGTTTTAGATGGGGCAACTAAAGCTCGGAAAGACCACACGACGACTTGGCGTAGGACGCAAAGGTACTCAGCAACAGGTTCTGGACCGGAACTCGAGTTTCTGTGACTTCATGGCCTGAGCTCCCGCCACTCTGTTTCCTAGGGGCTCTGGTGGCCCAGGAATGGAAGCCAATAGGGACTGTGGGAAATGAACGCAGACAGAGAGCATTGCCTGCCCAGTTGCACCAAAGAGTTGAACACTGAATCCACAACTGGCTGGGTTGATGGAGCACGGTGCTGTCCATGTTCTAAATAGGCCACCATCGGGACGTCCGCCCCGGCCGAGTAAGACTGTGCCTGAGTAGGGGGATCTAACCAAGCAAGCACTCCTCGGGGGATGACCCTCATCTCTACCACAGGGAAGCGTCTGCAACTTCCTTACCCAGGTCTCAAACATATCCTCCGGGCGCAGCCGGCGTAGAGTGGGTCTGAAAAAAAAACAAAAAAACAAAAGGAGGCTTCCTTGAGTTGGGATGGCCTTGGCAGGTGTGTCAGCCTCCTCGCCATGAAAAGCACAGAAATGCTGGCTACTTTGCACGAGCATCATGAGCCCAGGCAAACCACCTCACTGCAGGAAGAACTGTTCTAGCCTGCTGTGTCAGACATGCTGGGCCCAAACCACTCAGCCCTGCAGAGGCCTGTTTGCTCCAAGGGGCACAAAGTCCATTATGGTTGGTCAGAGGCTATGGGGTCAGCTCATTGCCGGGACAAGACGCCACGTCCTTCCCCACACACAGGAGCCCCTCCTGACAGCATGGAGCAGGCCAGCAATAAGGAAATGGGAGACAGAAAATGGGAGGTCTAGAGAAAATGGTTTTCCTAGAGTGGCTTTTGTCTTCTCATCAGGGTCATCCCACAAGAGCCAAGGAGGAATGCTGGGGGCAGCAGGTGGGAGCCACAGGAGGGCCCCTTACAAAGTTCATGGAAAACGAGTATTAGGAAAAAATTATGTGTGGGTTTTCTTTTTTTGCCACCAAAATGAAAGGATGCCAGTGAACACACCCAAGTTCTACCCTGTGGTACCGTGTGCAGTGTGGTCCTCACCCTGTAACCGTGTGCAGTGCTGATCCCTACCCCTGTGGTACTGTGGGCAGAGTGGTCCCTGGCCCCTGTGGTACCGTGTGCAGTGTGGTCCCTGGCCCCTGTGGTACCATGTGCAGTGCTGGTCCTCACCCTTTGGTACTGTGTGCAGTGCTGGTCCTCACCCTGTAGTACTGTGTGCAGTGCTGATCCCTACCCCTGTGGTACCGTGTGCAGTGTGGTCCCTGGCCCCTGTGGTACCACGTGCAGTGTGGTCCCAGACCCCTGTGGTACCGTGTGCAGTGTGGTCCCTGGCCCCTGTGGTACCATGTGCAGTGTGGTCCCTGGCTCCTGTGATACCGTGTGCAGTGCTGGTCCTCACCCTGTGGTACTGTGTGCAGTGCTGGTCCTCACCCTGTGGTATCGTGTGCAGTGTTGTTCCTGGCCCCTGTGGTACCGTGTGCAGTGTGGTCCCTGTGCAGTGCTGGTCCTCACCCTGTGGTACCGTGTGCAGTGTGGTTCCTGGCCCCTGTGGTACCGTGTGCAGTGTGGTCCCTGGCCCCTGTGGTACCGTGTGCAGTGTGGTCCTCACCCCGTGGTACCGTGTGCAGTGTGGTCCCTAGCCCCGGTGGTACCGTGTGCAGTGTGGTCCTCACCCTGTGGTACCATGTGCAGTGTGGTTCCTGGCCCCTGTGGTACCGTGTGCAGTGCTGGTCCTCACCCTGTGGTACCGTGTGCAGTGTGGTCCCTAGCTCCTGTGGTACCGTGTGCAGTGTGGTCCCTAGCCCCTGTGGTACCGTGTGCAGTGTGGTCCTCACCCTGTGGTACCATGTGCAGTGTGGTCCCTAGCCCCTGTGGTACCGTGTGCAGTGTGGTCCTCACCCTGTGGTACCGTGTGCAGTGTGGTCCTCACCCCGTGGTGCCATGTGCAGTGTGGTCCTCACCCTGTGGTACCATGTGCAGTGTGGTCCCTGGCCCCTGTGGTACCATGTGCAGTGTGGTCCTATCCTGTGGTACCATGTGCAGTGTGGTCCCTAGCCCCCGTGGTATCGTGTGCAGTGTTGTTCCTGGCCCCTGTGGTACCGTGTGCAGTGTGGTCCCTAGTCCCCGTGGTACCGTGTACAGTTCTGGTCCTCACTCTGTGGTACAGTGTGCAGTGTGGTCCTCTCCCTCTGGTAATGAATTTGATACCCTTCTCCCGATCCTGACTCTAACTCCTTGTCAGTGCGGACCCAGAGGTGATGATGGCTCACGTGATCGGGTCCCTGCCACCCACATGGGAGATCTGGATTGAGTTCCTGGCTCCAATCCTGGCTCTTTGGCCTCCCCTAGCAGGAATTTGGGGAGTGAATCAGCAGATGGAGGTAGTCTCTCTCTCTCTCTCTCTCTCTCTCTCTCACCTCCCCTCTCAAATGTATGAAAGTATCTTTTTGAAACACTCTGGCATTTTGTGCATGGTTCGCGTCTTCCCACTGTTGGCATGGTGCTAGGCGTGTTAACATTTGCTCCAGGTGGAAGATCGTGGTGGTGCAGGGGCAATGGACGCACCTGTGCACACGTACGGAGGGTGGATGGCCGAGGCAGTGAGCCCATTACCACGTCCCACGTTCCCCTACTGTCCTTCCCTCAGGAGCAGAGGTTAGCAAGCCACAGCTGGTGGACCAACTCCAGCCAATACTTCTTGTTTTTGTAAATACACTTGTATTGTGATGCAAACACACCCATTTATTTCCATAGGGTCTGTGGCTGCTTTCACGGGACAACTGCACAGCTGAGGTGTCACAATGGACACCAGCTAGCCCACGAAGCCTGAAAGATTTACTACCTGGCCCTCTACAGGAAAAAAACGTAATGACTCTGCTAAGGCTACTCGGAGAGGCATCAAATATTCCTCTCCCAGAAGCTCTGTGATTACCCAACTACGCTGGACTGGACCCAACTCCTTGATCTGTAAATTGGGATAATAATAATTATGCCATAACGTTGGAGGTGAGATAAAATAACTTCCATAAAGTACCTAGCATAGCACTTGGTACATCGAAGGCTTTCACTAAATCGCTCTCGTGAATGGTGTGGGATGTTACTTCCTTACTCTGACCCTGAAGAGTTTACCAAGTGGAGGGAGGTGGGCCAATTCTGCTTGCACGGGTAGGTCCATATTCGGGAGCCAGAGCAGCATCCTGCCCTGTATCAGTGACTGTTGTGCTGGGCGTGAACCCTAAGTTGTTGCTGTTGACGGGCCCGAGATGTCACCACTGAGAGTCTCTTCCCCATTCTCCCTCTCCTGAGTGCCATCTCCATTACCTCTGGTGCTCCTTCACAAACTCCACGAGCTCCTCTTCCGTGTAAGGTTTGTTGGGGATGGGAGTGGGCTCATCCATAAAGGGCTCATAGAAATCGACTTCATTCATCTTCAAAGACAGTTTCTTTGCAACCTGTAGCAGTGAGAAATCAGACAGACGTTCCCTTGAGGCTAGTCTAAAAGAACAATGGCCTGTGCATCTAAGAGGTGCACGTTGTGTTCTCTGCAAAGGCATGGAGGCACATGTACAGTTCTAACTTCAATACTGAAGTGACAACAAGTTGTCATCTATGCCCTGCAATGAACCAGTCTCCTTTTGTGCTCAAAGGAGAGAGAGGGAGAAAAGCCTTATGTGGCCAATGAGGATCAAGCATAGGCCGGGGCAGTTGGAATGGAAAGAGGGAAATGTAACTGTACAATCACCTTCTCTCTACTGTATAAGGGAACTGCAAAGTGTGTGTGTGTGTGTGTGGAGGAGGCAGGCTAATAGCACAGCGCTTAAGCCGCCACTTGGGTACGCCCACATCCCATATCAGAATGCCAATATGAGCACCAGCTACCCTGTTTCTGATCCAGCTTCCTGTTGCTGCACCCTGGGAGGCAGCGGAAGATCTCAAGTGTTAGTGCACCTACCATCCACATGGGAGACCCAAACAGAGTTCTAGGCTCCTGGCTGCAGCCTAGCCCTGTCCTGGCTATTGCAGGCATTTGGAGAGTAAAACAGAAGATAAAGGATCTCGATCTCTCTCTCTCTCTCTCTCTCTCTCACTCTCACTCTCACTCTCACTCTCATTCTGCTTTTGCAGTAGATGAAAATAAATAAGTAAACATTTTTAGCAGTGCATAGAAAAATGGATTAAAAGATAATTCTATTTTCCTACAAAAGGATAAAGGCTTACTAATTTGATCGTGAGGATGGCATGCACTGCCTTGAGAATCACTGAGCACCTGCTGCTGGGGTCCTATCAGCAGAGACCCCGTGAGCATTCTGAAGATCCCTCACACACCTGCCAGACCTGGAGGATCACAGGAATGCCAGCGTAGCAAGTCTCCCGACCTGCTTTGGGTGGATTTTATTGAACCAATTTTGCTGGAACAGGCAATTGATGGCAACCCTAACAGCACGCAGGTACACAGATTCAGAAGACAATCTGTTAATCTGTGCTTGATCAGTTCATAACCCTACTGGGTTGAAGCACTGGCCCTAGGGTTAAATCCCTCAGTACTGGGCTTGCTTGGTGGCTTGTCAGGCTCTGGGAGCTGCCCCATTTGCTCCCAGTCCTAAGGTGACCAACCGTCCTGCTTTGATCTCCAGGGAGCAGCTTCCTTGGATGCAGGATTCTCAGCACTAACATCTGGATGCCTCCAGCATGCTCACTCTATAACAGACACAACGCTGAGGGAGCCAGCCCACAGGCCAGAAGACATTCTTCCCTCTTGATTCAAGCGGCCACACTGTGTGTGTGTTGCTACGTTCGCCTGCATAAGCACTGAAATCAGGTCCTCTCTTTGCGGAGTGATGTGAGAGGCCTGGAATGTGCAAGCTCTAGAGAAAAGCAAACACCATTCTTTTCTAGTTCAGAGCTGCGATCCAGACAGCACAGGAATGAACAGTGGTTCCCTTGAAACCAGAGAGGGATCAGATAAGGGCTGATGCCTTGTGGTGGTAATCCATGGTGTGCAGCGAGCCAGGGGCCTGGGGCTATGAGTGTCACACAAGCTCTTTCATGAGGAGGGCCATTCTGCTGGCTTCGTATGGTTTTTGCCATCAATGGCTGTTACTGCCAGGTCACTGTATTTCTAAAGACACCTCTCACAGTGTTTCAGGGACAGAAATCCCAGCATCCCATCAGAGCTAAGGCAAAGAGGCCAGGTTAAGAGCCACAGTCAATCAAGGGAGACGTTGCTCTCATATTAGTTTTGTTTTAAGAGAGGTGGGTGTGGAATTTTTCTTGTTCTTTTCCCCTCTCTTCTCTTGGGCAGGGCGTGGTGTCGATGAAGGAGTGACGAGGCAGGGAACTGGGGACAGGGAGCAGCAAACACACACCCAGTGCCTGGGTTCACACGCCGTTTTCTGCAAAGCTGGACCTGCAGTAGAACAGACTTGAGAATGACATTGGATTCTGGTTGTTCGTGCTGTTACTGTATACTCTAGACTCAGGAAACTGTGCTGCTCTGAAATGGCAAGTGAAGGAATAGAAACAGTGATGAGAAGAAGCACACGGGGAGCCTATGGTGTGCTAGGCGCTGTTGCCAAGGGTTTTAGATTTCACACTTCATTGAATCCTCTCTTGATTGAGATAAGAACCATTTTACACTTCTTATTCAAAAGGTAACTCCTCCCTGACAGTGTAAATAAGGAAGCATGCACATGTTCCTGGTGTTTCTTAAAAAAAATATTTGTTTATTTATTTAAAAGTAGGTAGAGTTAGAGGGAGGAAGGGAGGGAGGGAGGGAGAGAGAGAGAGAAGCAATCTTCCATCTGTTGCTTTACTCCTCAAACGGCTATAATGGCTGGTACTGAGCCAAGCCCAGGTCAGTAACTTAAAACTCCATCCTGGTCTCCCACATGGGTTCAAGGGCCCCAGCACTTGTACTGTCTTCCTCTGCTTTCCCAGGTGCGTTAGCAGGGAGTGGATCAGAAACGGAGCAGCTGTGTTGCAAACTGGCTCTTGTATGGGATGCTGGCATTGCAGGTGGTAGCTTACCCCGCTGTGCCGCAATGCCAGCCCTGCACACGTGTCTACAGACCCTGCATTGATGCTGCACACGTTTTACTGAGCTGTTTCCATTCCTTTGATAAGCGTTCCCATACATTTGCCACCAACCCCCTTCACTGCAGTATGCTCTCATTCAGGCTCCCTGAAGACCAGAAGGAGCTCATTAGAATGACTGTTAAGGCAAGCAGGAGGGTGTGCATGTGTGTGTGTGTGTGTGGTGGTGGTGGTAATGGTGGCCTACGGTAGCCAAGGTCATGTTCTAGGAACAGACCTGGTTCATGGGCACTGCAGTTACATAAGAATGGATTATGCTGGGTATGGTGCTGTGGCGTAGCAGGTTAAGCTGCTGCCTGCTATTCCAGCATCCCACATGGATGCCAGTTCATGTCCTGACTGCACCATTTCCAATCCAGCTTCCTGCTAATGACCTGGGAAATGCGGCAGAAGATTATCCAAGTGTTTGGGCCCTTGCACCAACTTGGGGAGACCCAGATGAAGCATCTGGCTGCTGGCTTCAGCCTGGCCCAACCCCAGCCATTGTGGCCACCTGGGGAATGAGCCAGTGACTGAAGCTTGTTCTCTCTCTCTCTCCCACTCTTTCTTTCTCTCTCTCTATTTCTCTCTCTTTCTGTAACTCTGATTTTCAGAAAGAAATCTTTTTTTAAAAAAATGGACCATGCTATCAAAAGCTGAATAGGTCCACACAAATGAAGGCATGACCACGTGGTTGGATTGGGAGGCACTCCAGATACTACTGAACTCAGAGTTGGACATCCCTTCTGAGAACTAAGGCTTCTCTGTATCTCTCTTTTTAAATAATATCCTATCCCGACCTCCCCTCCTCCTGGGCTTAGATGACTGCCTGTTTACTAGCGACAGTAATCACAGCTGGCTAACATTTGTTGCATTTTACCAAATTGCTTCTTGTTCTGGAGCACGGTAGCACACAGCATTGACTTTGAAGTCAGGCTGACCTGCAATTACACCAAGATTCACTAATCATTACCTGTGTGACTGCGGGCAAGTCACTTCATTTCTCTGCGGAATGAGAATGCTAATTCCTCTCCTACAGGAGTGTTGAGAGGATGAAGTGAGAAACCCTGTGGAGCCCTCTCAACACAGAACACTTCGTGGTTGGCCACGACTATCTTTTGGTAGGTGATCGCTGTTGTTCTGTCCCACACTTTTGCTCAAAATCTCTCCCAATTCTAATCCAGCCAACTAGGGTCAACTTGCAAGGTTAGCTTATGGTACTGAGCTTATAGACCTTGCTTCGGGTTTAGGCTTGAAAACACAGGCTATGTCCACAGGAGGGGTTCAGGATGTCTTTCCATCATGCCCTGGCTCTGCATCAGCACCCGTGGCTTCCTCTCATTTTTCACAGAACACGTGACTTCATCACAGTCTAGCAGCCCAGGCGCCCTGCACACCACTGCCTTACTCTTCAATAGCCCACTCTCTGATTAATTTGCACTTTAATTTGATCAAGGGTAGATTCATTTGTTTCTGGAAAAGATGATCATTTAGGGGTTTCAGTGGGGTGTGCATTTCTGTGTGTAATGTGTGTGTGCTCTAAATCTCAACAGCAGGTCTTCTATGCAATGGTATGGTATAGAGGGAAGTGCACAGATTTGGGCTAAATGTCCTATATCGGGACCTCAATGCTATCTTTGATTTACGGAAGACCTTGGATATTATTCCAAATTTTCCAAGTCTACTTTCTCTCTGAGAAATGGGAGTTCTTACCTTACAAAGTTGTTTAAAGGATTATAGATAACAAAGATGCAATATATCAAATTGTACCCAACGTAGGAAAAGCACTCGGTAAAAGAAGAGCCATCGTAGTAGTAACAGGAGCCAGAGTACAGTACTCTGACGCCAAAGACTTCAAATGAATTATGCATTGCTGCAGGGTCTCTCTGCCTATCCTGTTCTTTGGCTTATGAAATTGCTTGCCACATTCAGAACATAAAGAGTAATTGGATTTTAAATGTGCACTTTAGTGAAATCTCCTGGAAACCTGGCACCTTTCTATAGTGCCAGGGCAGCAGAGGGTCATGCAGTGGAAGGGGAAGTAGCCACCCCCAGGAAGGGCAAAGGTATCTCTTGAGAAAAAAGAATGCATGACTCAGGGCCCAAGCACACTGTGGGCTCACAGCTCCCCATTCTCAGCACACAGCAAGATAAGAGGTGACTCATCACTTTCTGTTAGAAAGACCCTTACGTCCTCAGATTAGCCATCTTCGTACTCGTGTGTAAGTGATTCATCAGCATACTTTCAGCAGTTCCAGAGAAAGGGGCAAGTGAGGATGGTGAATGTAGATCAAAGAAAAGAAAGAAAAATTGGGAAGTTCCAAGTTTAATCCTGCATGCTGAGAAAAATGTTCGGCTTGGGGTTTCATAGGTACTTACCCCTTTGTCGAAGGTGGCAAAGAATTTGATGTAGGGCTGGAAGTGTTCAGCTGCTTCTTCAAAAGCCTTGTAATCTAAAACAAGATGAAAGGGAGAGACATGGCCCAGATGCACACCGAACAATCATCTTTTTAAGTGATGTAGAGAGAGTGGAAAGCCAGTCAGTGGAGGTCGGGTTACTACTTCGTAGATATGATGTAGACAGATAATTGTGATACCATCTAATCCCATGGAGGTGGAATGGGCTGGCATTCAACAGCCCAGGCGCAGACCTCGGCACCACAGGGGTGGGGAGGGCAGAGGAGGAGAGCAGGAAACAGAGAAAATGGAGGGAGCAAAGGGGGCGGGGGGTGGGGCAAAACTGCTTTCATTCCAACTCACTTCTACTTATAATAGTGCCCCCTAGTGGCAGCAAAGATTTCTCTAGAAATGAACCCTAAGCAGGACATTCACCTTACTGTGTAAAGTATCCTCAATCAAGGAGTATTTTAAACTTCTTAGAAGGACTTACCTTCATGGGTGAATCCTAGTTTGTCCTCTCTCCCTCTCTCCCTTTCTCTTTCAGATCTGATCCCTTGAGAGAACTACTGAAATCGACTCAAGCCTGTCCTTGACTCTGGCCCCAACCTTCCATCTGTTTAGTAGGTATGAGACCATGTAGGCCTGGGAATGCTGTGTCTTGGTATGCCTAGGCAGGTATCTGGCAAAGATGCTCACATTCAAGCCTTAGATTGGAGGGGATGGTGGTGGTGATTTTTCCCAATAAATTCTATAGTCCTGAGAGTAATGAGCCCATGATTTATTCTTGAGATTAATTTCTTGCCATTTCATGAAATTCCACATTCCTTAACTACCACAAGTATGAGTATAAAGCTTTTGTAAGAATTCTGGGACTATGCAGAAGTTTCTAAGAGCCTAGTAAAATTTATTCTTGGAACATCACTGACTCAGGGATTACTGAGATGACTGAAAAAAAAAAAAAAAAAAAAACTGATCTCCAAACACTCTAAGCCTAGAGATGGCTACGGATCCCTAAAAGACTCACCGTGCACTGCAATGCTTGCTCTAACAGAGGTGAGTGCTGCAAACACTTGAGACAAAGGCTGAAAATTTACAAGAATATTTTTATCTGCTGATACACACTCACACAAATGCATCCTCAAAAAAGGGATGGGGAGTGTGAAAAAGACATCCTGCAGCTTGGTTGTAGAGTTGGGGTAGAAGGGTGAGCAGAGGGGAGAAGAGGGTTGGGAGTATTTGAAGAATGAACATGGAAAGGAGGTGAGGGAGTGGAGAGGCTAGAGGGTTGCCCCAGCCAGCCTAAAGCAGCCGTGGGCTCCATCAGAATCCCTTGCTCTCTCTTTCCCAGTCCCCACCTCCATGGTTAGCCCTCCCTACCTCCAAGAACTCCTCCCCTGACAGGAAGAAGAGCTGGCAGCCCTGCTCCTTGTGGAGAGCTTGTCTTCACTACTTCTAAGAAAAAGGATGGGGCAAGGGGGATCCCCAGGTCAGTGGTTCAAAGCGTGAGCTTTAAGCCTCACCCAAACAGCAGTGGTCTTCCAGGTGTCTGCCTGCTCTTGCTTCTACTCTGCTAGACCTCAGGTCGCTCTAGGTTTCCCCTGTCCTGTGTCCTGCTTTAATAATGCTACCTCCCACTCTGACTCCCATTACCTTTTTTGTTTTTAAGATTTATTTATTTACTAGAGAGGCATAGTTACATAGAGAGGGAGAGCCAGACAGAGAGGTCTCCCATCTGCTGGTTCACTCCCCAAATGGCCACAAAAAGCCAGAGCTGAACCAAGAGCTTATTTCGGTTCTCCCCTCTTCCTCTGCTTTTCCAGGCTATCAGCAGGGAGCTGGATTGGAAGTGGAGCAGCCGGGACTCAAACTGGTGCCCATATGGGATGCCGGCACTGCAGGTGGATGCTTAACCTACTACCCCACAGCACTGCTCCAAGCCCCACCCGCCAGTTACCTTGATAACTCTTTCTACTTCTAACTTAGACTCTTGACCATTCAGCCCCCAACCTGCAGCTGGCTAAAGACTCACCGTGGCATTCCCTCCGCTCTCCTCCCCACCCCTCAGGACTGTTCATACTGGATCTCAGCACATTGAACTTCAGTAACTGGTGTGGTTAGTAGCATCAGTTAAACCCTGAAGAGAAATATTTGGACCAAAAGCAGTTTCTTTCAAAGAGGAACCAAACCAATTTGTTGGGGATGAAAAATTCAAATAAGGGCCGGCGCCGCGGCTCACTAGGCCAATCCTCCGCCTAGCGGCGCCGGCACACCGGGTTCTAGTCCCGGTTGGGGCGCCGGATTCTGTCCCGGTTGCCCCTCTTCCAGGCCAGCTCTCTGCTGTGGCCAGGGAGTGCAGTGGAGGATGGCCCAGGTGCTTGGGCCCTGCACCCGCATGGGAGACCAGGAGAAGCACCTGGCTCCTGGCTCCTGCCATCGGATCAGCGCGGTGCGCCGGCCGCAGCGCGCCGGCTGCGGCGGCCATTGGAGGGTGAACCAAAGGCAAAGGAAGACCTTTCTCTCTGTCTCTCTCTCTCACTGTCCACTCTGCCTGTTAAAAAAATAAATAAATAAATAAAAATAAAAATAAATAAATAAGAAAAATTCAAATAAGCAGGCAAACCCATCAAAACAGATTTTGGAACCATTGCCCACGTTCACGTACTAACTGATGGAAGGACAAGAAGGTGTAACGACTCCACCCTGAGCTCCTTCTGGCTGTCCTGAGACTCCAGTAGAATTTACTCACAGAAAAGCGCTGCACCTCCACAGCACACAAAAGGCTATTGCAAACAAGGTGACTTGACGGCGACCTCCGCTGCCGTCGAGGGAGAGGGGCACGTCTGGCCGAGTGTGGCCAGCAGGTTCCTGTTGCATTAAATCATGTCCCTGCGGTCACATATGTATCGGCAGAAAGCTTAAATGCAAATCACTCAGAGAGATCATCACCTCCTACAGAAAGCAAGCACGAGGCCAAGAGGAGGCAAACAGAACTGAGAGAGAGAAAATAAATTCTACAGCAAATAAATATTTAGAAAATGGAAAGAGATCTTGAAGCACCAGGCATTCAGATTCTATCAGATGAGGAGGAGGAAGACCAAAAAGCACATCTGTCAAAAAAAAAAAAAGAAAACATAAGAAAGAGAGAAATAGGAAAAAGAAATTGCCATCTGTGCTAACCCTCTGATGAGAAGGCGTTCAGGTATTCAGTCGCCTTGGCAGAAATAAATAGAAACAATATCCACCAAAGATTTATTCTCTGATATGTGTCTGTAAAATCTGCTGGAATTTTCTTCAGGATTGCATCAGCGAATTCTCAGTTATGGACTCTCAGGAGCAGTCCGACTGTATCTACAGGGACCACTGATTGCTGTTTGTCCCTATTATTTAGCCTGTGCCCCACTTGGGGAGCAAAGCTGCAGGCTTGGGCCATTCTGAGATTTCCCTGTTTACCAAGGAATATTGTCAAGGTTTACACTTGGAATATAAGAGAGTGTAGTTAATATATATACATATATGTATATATACACACTCGCAAAGTTTTATGTATATGGAAAGAGAGAGCAAGCAAGCACTGGATAAAGAAGGATGGGGAGGGCCTGGAAGTGTGACAACTAGGGAAGAAAATCTAAATAATGTTCAGGTTTGCCACCAGAGATGCAATATTTTAAACACTGTCACAAAGAGTGACTTTAAGAATCTATATTTCATATTTCCAGCACTAGCAGATGCCATATATACACTTCATTTACTTTTAATACATTGGATATTGATATTTTATTGAATGGTAAATTAGGAATATGAACTGTAAATTTTGTCTTAAATAGTTTTTTCTTGGCCTTTATTTTTATGACTTATGGTATGAGTTTTATTTTAGGACGTACTTTCTGGACAGTTTGGAAGTTTGGGTGCTATGTAAAGAAAAACACTTAAGAATACATCATACTTCAAATATAAACACCTGTTGTATTGAATGTAGTTTATTTATTGGTTAAGAAATCAGCTTTTCTGCTCTCAACATGGTGTCTGAACCTAAACATAAAATATATTTATTACATGCAAAATATTTCTTAGATAGCCACTTTTCAGCAGAAATATTTTACCAGAACAGATGTTCATTTCTACATCCTGATAATTATTTAAATTGTTACCTAACCTCACTCTGAAAGATAAAAATATGCCTTAATATCGAAACTAAGTAAATAAAACAAAACAGGTGACTTTAACATCTAAGCCGGCATCAGCCTGCTCTGTTTAGTTTGCAGTGAAGAAATCAGGTCAAAAGACTTCTCTCAGATTACCTGAACAAGGAGAGTTTTATTAAGGGCTTATCAACTAACACATGGATTGAAAACTAAATTGTAAATTATCCTCACTTAGAAAAAAGTTTGAAATATAATTATTGATTTCAAAAAACGCTGGACCCTGCTGAGCACCTGAATGAGCTTAATTGAAAGCTGCATGGTCCTTGTGAGATAGTATGCTGATGAACGTTACTAGTCTGAGAGAAAAACTTCAACCTTGAAAAAAGGCTGAAATGGCTTACTAGTAATTGTATTATTTAGATCTGAAGAATAAGCAACTCTATCTGTGTATTCCTATGGGAAAGTTTCATTATAATTTTTGGAATATGTAATATGAAAATGTTCAGTTTGATTTGCAAACCATTCACATTATCACAAGAAATATGAACATCATATCTGTCAATGAAGAGAAAAATAAGAAATATCATATTGAAAGAATGCTCCTGGGGCCAGCACTGTGGCTTAGCAGGTAAAGCTGCCACCTGCAGTGTCAGCATCCCATATTTTTTGCGTTTGAGTACCCACTGCTCCACTTCTGATCCAGCTCCCTGCTAATGCACCTGGCGAGGCAGGCAGCAGAAGATGGCAAAGAGATTGGGCCCTGCACCCATGTGGGAGACCCAGAGGAAGCTCCTGGCTCCTGGCTTCAGATCAGTCCAGCTCCAGCCATTGCAGCCACTTGGGGAGTGAACCAGCAGATGGAAGCTCTCTCTTTCTTTTTCTCACTCTCGCTCTAACTCTGCCTTTTAAATAAATAAATAAATTTTTTTTTTAAAAGAATGTTAACAATCTCGAAAGACAACTTACAGACAGAATTATCTTAATTACATCCAGAGGCAAGAAAAGAATGTTCATTTAACAAATAAAAATCAGCCAGTGCTGTCCATCCACTTGCCACCATCCTTATGTGGAAGTCTCTTTCAATGATGACTGTCAAGAATTCAAAGAGGGGGCCACCTGAGACGCCAGCACCCCCTGTGGGTTCCGGTTCCAGTCCTGGCTGCTCTACTTCTGGTCCAGCTCCCTGCTAATGCACATGAGAAGGCAGTGAAGGATGGCTCAAGTGCTTGGGCCCCTGCACCTATATGGGAGATCCAGATGAGGCTCCTGGCTCCAGGCTCCTGCTCCTGTTGCAACCACTTGGGGAGTGAATCAGCAGATGGAACAGCTCTCTCTCTCTCTCTGTCTGTCTCTCTCTCTGTCTGTTTGTCTGTCTCTCTCTGTAACTTTTTCAAATATATAAATTAAAACTTAAAAAAAGAATTTTGATCAGGAATTAAATGTTGCTATTTTAAACCCAAAATCTAGTATCAAAAATTTATTCTCGAAGCCAGCACAAGATTCTCATTTGAAATCTTGAAAGTGAAACATGTGATATATTTCCTATTATTGTGTATTGTATTATTGTATAATATAAAGAAAGTAAATTTTTTTCCACTAAGCCCAAGTCCCTACTATAAAGCACTATTATATTTTATACGTGCTGGGGACCTGACAAAATTTGCAAAGTCTTAGAAGTACAGCCCAGCAGTTAACTGTTTGAACTCGAAAGTCAGATTCCTGGGCTTTCAATCTTGGCTCCACTCGCCGTGATACTGTGTGGGCTCATCAAGCCTTTCCGCCCCATCCTTTTCATCATCACTAAAGTGCAGATAATAATGACAGCCACTCAGGGGCTTGTGAGACGGAAATTCAGGTGACCATCCAGCTCCCAGCGCGGGCCCTGGCACGCGGTGGCGCTCATTACAGGGAGTGAAGACCGCCAGTACCGGGCAGCGGAAGGAAGACACTGGAAGCTGTGCTCCGCCTCCTCAGCTTGCCCCGCCTCCATCCTCACCTGCCCCCGACTTTAGCAGGAGAGGAGAGAGAACACAAGGGTGAGAACAGTGTGAGAGGAAGGGGCAGGGAAGGGGGAAGGGAAGTAGAAGGAAAGGACACAGAGAGGAGAAAGCAGAGGGGCAGGAGGAGCCCCCTGAGGCAGTCAGTGCGGTTGTAAGTCGCCTACGGAAGAGCTGGGGCAGAACTCCGGGCCCGCCAGCTCCCCCAGCACGTCCACGGTGAGCACGGCCAGTGGAGGCTTCGAGGGAGCAAATGGGAAGAGATCTAAACTGGGGCATGGAAGAGAGAAGAAACGTGGGCTACTGATGAGGTGACAAAGGAGGCCTCTGGACAGACTGGGTATTGGGTAAAGGCATGGTTTTGTAAATAACTTCAAAATATTTGGGGATTTCCAGAAATAGTCACAAGCAGCCCACGTTTGTCCCTCCTACACATGAGATTCCATGTCACAGTTATGCCAGCCCCCTCCAACGCTTTCCCTCTCTCCCAGGCTCAACTCCTGGGCCCGGGCTGCCGAAGCAGTTTTTACAAATGTGCCCAGGTAATGGGCCTTCCTGGCTCTTGCTCCCTGCTCCTTCCTACGTCCACCCATCATGCTCTCATCCCTTCATGGGCCACGGTGATGCTGTGAGAGGCCCCTGTGCCCACCCAAAATCTGGCTACAAAACTCACAGGGAACATGCCCTTGGGTGTGGCTTCCCAAAGGCAGGCAGCCTTGGGGTCAGCGATGGGCTTGGCCCGCCGTTTTTCTTTTTTCTTTTTTTCTTTTTTTGACAGGCAGAGTGGACAGTGAGAGAGAGAGACAGAGAGAAAGGTCTTCCTTTTGCCGTTGGTTCGCCCTCCAATGGCCGCTGCGGCCAGCGCACCGCGCTGATCTGAAGGCAGGAGCCAGGTACTTATCCTGGTCTCCCATGGGGTGCAGGGCCCAAGGACTTGGGTCATCCTCCACTGCACTCCCGGGCCACAGCAGAGAGCTAGCCTGGAAGAGGGGCAACTGGGACAGAATCCGGCGCTCCGACCGGGACTAGAACCTGGTGTGCCGGTGCCGCTAGGCGGAGGATTAGCCTACTGAGCCGTTTTTCACACTCAGTAGCAGTTGCTAAGGCCATTCCGGCCCAGATCTTCCTCCAGTGCTTTCCAATCAACCGAGAAGCACCGCAGCTGGTGACAGCAGGGGCTGCCAGGGTCAGGGAGGCGGCCCCCAGCGTGTCTCCCTGGAGAGGAGAATCCCACCAGAAGAGGGCAGTGAGGGCTGTGCAGGAAGGCCTTTTCTCTCTGCTCTGAAACACTCCCCCCACCCAAGGCCTGACAAAGTGGCCCAACCCTGATGGTCTTTCAGCTCCTCTGGTGGCTGTTTTGCAAAGTGTGCATTTGTATCTCACTGCAGAGAGCACGGGAAGATGGTAACTTCTATTCTCCCCAGCAAAAGAGATGCTGAAGAGCCATCGTCTTTGAGGAGAGCCTAATGCACACCGCCGGGAACCCAGCCTCGAGACTGACAGGTGGGAGCGGCCAGGCGACTTACATTCCGAGTCCGCGCTCTTGAAAAAGCCGATGAGTTTGATGTGGTCCTCGATGCGCTCAAAGGCCTGCACTTCCAGCTTGCTGTTTATGATCTCCACGGGGTCTTCGATCAGCTGGAAAGCCACACACACGCGCACACAGAAGGATGTTCAACTATGTGCTCCCTTCCCCGGTGGGGAAACGGAGTGCTTTGGAGGGACGCGGTCACAGAATGTGTAGCTGGTACTTCAAGCACCCAGCCCGCCTCCCTCCAGAGAACAGGGCAGCAATACTTTTTGAGGAATTGTTCTTAATTCAAGAGGTGGGACAATTTGTCTGGGGGCAATTCTATTCCAGGTTTTAAAATAATGTATTTAAATTTTTAAAAAAGAATTTAATTCTAATTATAAATTGATAAATTATAGTAGTATGTATTTATGGGATAAAGTGATATTATAATTAACAAATACAATGGGGCATAATAAAATCAAGAGAGTTAACATATCCATCAGCTCAAATATTTATCATTTTTAGGATCAAAGCATTTGAAACTTACTCCTAGCAATTTTGAAGTGCATTGTTATTCATCATGTTCATCATGTTATGCAATATATCTCAAAGAGAAGAAACCTTGCTCCACCTGTTTAACTGACCTTCCGTACTCTTTGGCCATCACCCTCACATTCTTGTCCCCTCCCACCCTCAGCCTCCAGTACCCACCATTCTACTCTGCTTCGTGGAGTCCCATTGTTTTAGACCCCACGTAAAGTAGAAGTGAGAACATGTGCATCTGTCTTTCTGTGCCTGGCTTATCTCACTTAGCATACTGTCCTCTAGTTCCATTCGTATTAGTGTAAATGACAAAATTCTTTCTTAAAGCAGCAGAGTAATCCATGGTGTATATATACTGCAACTTCTTTATCTACTTCCATAAAACTCTTGGTTCAGGAATGAGCCAGTGACCCAACTGTGAACCAATGAGGATAGATTTGTTGATGGCTTTGAAAAAGTGCTTTGCTCTTCAGAGAGCACTGGGCAGCCGGTTTGTTTGTCCCTCTCCTTGGATACGAACGAGGAAATGTGCTGTGCCCTGCCGCTGGCCATTTTACATGAACTTGAGGACAAAGACACCACACTGAAAGCAGAACTGCCTGTGGGCCACAGGGAAAACTGGAGCTGGAGCTCTGATGCGATCAAGGCTAAAATTTGCCCTGACTCTGGTCTAACACCTATGTGGGTCCATCCCACTGTTCATTGTTTAAAGCAGTTTGAATCTCATTTCCAACTCCTCCTCCTCGCAGGTAAATCCGGGGCCATGCTCAGTTATTCTGTTGCATCTCTCAATTCTTTTAGGGTTTGTGAGTGTGGGTCGATGAGACATTATGGGTGCATTTTTAGGTGGGAGGTGGCCTTCAACTTACTTCTAACCTCTCTGGTTCTTGAGGCTCCAGAGAGCAAACAATAGCCAGTGGGGTATACTTTGTAGCAAAGAAGTTATCAGTATGGAGATGCAATGGTAGGTTCTTTATCTATACAAGAAAGTGTGTTCAAAAGCATTTAACTTCAAAGTTGCTACTGAAGGTGTGCATTTATCTATGGATAAAGTATTTTTATGGTGTTTGTTCCTCTGTTTATCTGAGCACATAAATCTGAGCGTGTGGTACATCTGTGACAGAGATATTGGGGGGGAGCAGGTTTAGCCTTGCTTCTTCTTTATATTATTCCTAGGGCAACTTGGGGGGACCTGGCTAATAGGTTACTGTGGACACCCCTCTCTCTTTGGGTGACTTGCTACCACCATCTTTTCCCACACTCTCCACATCCTCTTCAACAAGGGCAAAGCCAAGGGAATTTCTGTGCAGTGTACATACAGCTGGTAAGAGAATTAGCATGTTACCATGGCATGGTCCCAATTAGCGGCCCTCTGGCCACTGAAACAGCGCTCCCAGGGTGACTTGAGGGCCAGCTTGCCAGTAGGGTTTCATAGGGTATTTCTTAATGCTTTGAAAAACCTGAGAATCCTTTGCAGACCATGTCAGGCTCTCTAGCTTCTCTGCCCTTGTCTGGAGTTTTCTCTCTCGCTGTATCTGAGCCCAGACAGCACTGTACAAAGCCAGTATAAGTGCTTACATCCAAGAGAAACTCCACCAAGACATCAGCCGCAAACTCGCCATCAAACTCAATTGTGCGATCACCCTTAAGAATATACAGGCTTCCTTCTTCATCAAAACCTGGAAGAAAGAAAGAGGCCCAAAGGCAATGTTATACTGACGTAGGAAGAGCCACCATGTAGGCCAAGGGCTGGCTCAGGGTCACTGGGGGTCAGTGGGGTCAGGATTAGTGCAACCAGCATTAACATAGGACCACTCCCTTGAAACAGTACTTCTAAAGGGCTCCCAGAGGGGACATTGAATTGGAGATGGCCAAGAAGTAACAATTTCACTTGGATTTTAGCTTAAGGAAAAAAAATCTACTTTCTACTCCTCCACTGCTTTAGTTTTCAAAGAATACTGCTGACCCCATGTCATTCCCCTTAGCAAAGATTCTTTACTACCCACTGCCACCTGACTCTTTAGCCTGCATTCAAGTCCCTCCGCCATCTAATTCCACCACAACCTCTTCTACCCTCAGGTAGAGCCACACTCCTGAGAACTGCTCCCTAGTCCCTTTTGCTTCTTGCCCCTCACTGACATGAGGGGGTGCATAAAGCAAGAGTCACAGGGAACAAGTGTCTGTCTGCACTTAGGTTCGCCTTGCTCCTTAAAACTGGAGAAATCTCCACTGCACCCACTCCTTAGAAGTCAGCATAGGAATCTCATTTTGCCCAAGAAGGTCATGTCCCTCTTACCAGGCTCATCCCACTACTGATCATTCCTCAGCTCCATCTGCACTTTAAAAGTAAGCTTTTGAGGGTGAGTCGTTGCTATCTTTGTATTCTGGTGCCTTGCACAGAGCTCAGACACATTGGCCATAACTGTACGTGGCCAGAACACATGCTTGCTGTCCTATTCTGGCTGAATCCTACATGTCGTCTACTCTGTTAGCTGAAAGGTGCTAGGAGGGCAGGTTCTGCATCTCACCTTTGCACCTAGAGTGACCACGGTGTAATGTTGCTTATTTTAACAAGTGCTTGCTGGGAAATTGCACCCCCTTTGCCCACCCCTGGGAATGTTAAATAGCTGAGGCTGGCATTTTGTCCCATTATGGCATCCTTCATTCCTTAGATTAATTGCTTTCAAACCCTCTCTTAGCTGGAGAATGCTTTCTGCAAATGAATTCCTCTGTGGAACCTCCAGGGACAGGGAGGCTGGAATGCTGTCTGCTGTCCCCAGGCACACCTGGGGCGCCCCTGGCACACAGCCCCTGGCTGTCGGTACATCAAAAGGAGCAAAGCGACTGAATGTCTTGAAGCGTGCATTGGCTGACCTCAACTTCAGCAAGTGTCCGGCTATTGGAGTTTGTCCTGGGTTGAAACCAGTTAGGAGGCTGGTGTGTTAGCTCTGGCACAAGCGGATGGAGGCCAGACTAAGGTAAATGGCAGGGGTAGGGGAGTGAAGATGTAACATCAGATTCACAAAATACAGCCACTGTCCTGGGAAACACACGACTCAGATGGCCAGGAACCAGCTGGCCCAGCTGCATGCTGAGCTTGGGGAAGAGCTTATTTGCTTGTACCAAGCCCCACTGTGTCCCTCTCTGGTCCAGTCTTAGGGGTGCCTGTCCAGCATGTGCTCCCCAGACTTGCAGATGACGGGAACACTTGTACCTCCCTCTAGCCACACTCACTGGAAATTATCCCCAAGTCAACTTCTCATGAAAACAGTGGGAAAGAGAAGACTAGGAATCCACAGACAGCCGAGGGAGGAGGCAGGACTCACTAAATTGTTTTTGGCTCTAAGGAAAGAGTTGAACATACTTTGAGCCCATGCTCAAGGGGAAAAAATTTTCTTAATATGTCTCTAGGAGAAAAGATATCTCAGGCATTCTGAGTAACTCATTATCATTTTAGGGCCATGAGTTCTTTGTGTCTAAACTAGACTCCTTTAATTACATTTTTAAAAAAGGGGGGGGGCTGGTTTTCATGAAAATAACGCAGGAAACAGTTGTTCATAATTTTCTAAGATAATAACTTTCATGTACCTGAAGGTATTTATTGAACCACCACTAATCTTTTTTTTTTTCCTGTGCTTACTACTCCGAATCCAATTAACCTTTCTTCAAAGGTCCTGTTTTATAACCTCCTGCTATTTTTTAATAGCCATTCTTCACTGGTCATGCAGAAAACACCAAATGGGCAGTGCATGTGTGTGGGAGTTTGGAAACCAGAGGAGTCACCTATATCCTCCCTCCTTGGGAATACAAAGGTGAGAATCTTAATGTGCACTTGCCCTTGAGCATGACAAAGTGACACGAGATTATAACTGCCACTGTGCAGTCACTTAGCCACACCTCCCCCAAATCCTGCCTCTCATCCATGGTGATAACACCCAGGTTGAAATCCAGACCCCTGGGACACCAAGTCATTGCTGTTAATGTTATCTTTTGTTGTCTGCTCCAGCCTCAAGACAGGTGATGGGAGAGGAGACTAACTCACAGAGATCAGCGTGGTGGTGAGATTGAGAACTGGCCTCTGGTCTGCTTCGGGAAATGAAAATTAGGCTTGAATCCCTAGTGTCAATTTCTCCAGGAAGAAACCCTGTCCTCTATACACAGATGCAAAATCGAGTGAAAGATTGCAGTGAAATAATTTGCTTTAGGCCAATATTTACTTCTGTGAAACTATCTCTGAACTCAAGACATTTTATATTTACTTAAAAGTAGTTCAGTTATCATACAAGAAAAAATGCAAGCGTACTTTTATTACAACATTTTGTCTCTTCCAGATGTAGCTCAATAATCCCACTCACCAGGGCCATCACTATGGCTTAGCAGTTAAGGCCACTGCCTGAAATGTTGGCAATCCCATATGGGCACCTGTTCGAGTCCTGGCTGCACCACTTCCCATCCAGCTCCCTGCTAATGCCCTGGGAAAGCAGTGGAGGACAACCCAAGTGTGTGGGCCCCTGTACCTGCATGGGAGACCTGGAAGAAGCTCCTGGCTCCTGGCTTCAGAAGGGCTCAGCTCTAGCCATTGCAACCATTTGGGGGGTGAACAAAAGGATGGAAGACCTCGCTCTCTTCTCTTCTCTCTCTCTCTCTCTCTCTCTCTTACTCTCTGCAACTCTGACTTTCAAATCAATAAATAAATTAAAAAAAAATCCCACTCACCCAGTTTCTTGGCAAGTTTGGCTTCTTTCTTGGCATCCACCATCACAAAGCCTATCTCTTTGTGTTCCAGGACCTGGGCCACCAGCTGGAGGGACAGATAGGAGGATAAGTGGACGGAGGGCAGAGAGATGGCCAGAAATAACACAGGATTCACGGCTGATATGTTGACATGGGGCTTTTCCTCCATACTTCCTGTTACTCTGTGACCAACTCCAGCCGCACCAGAGGGATTCCATGCTCGTCCCCTCCGGAGAAGGCTGACTCAGCAGAATGCTGGGAATCAGGGAGAGAAAACCTGAGGAACAGACTCAGATATCTCGTGTGGGAGAATATATGCCCTTTTCTGCCCTCAGTGCAGATAAAATTTGAACGGAGAATCAGGAAGGGAGCAGAGAGGCTGGAACACCTGTGGGCACCTGACACGAGGCCCATCTCAGCGGCAGGTGATCCTGGGGTGGACCTATGAGGAGCAGAGGGCAAAGGGCGCCTACGACGCCAGTACCCAAGCATAGTCCTGGAATCCCCGCCACCTCCTCGTGCTTGTACAGGAAGGGCGCCCATTGCGCACATCCTGCAGGTAGACCTGAGGTGGCCTCCTCTAGTTTCCTGCAGCCCAATCAGAGGAAGAAGTGGGAGAACATGGGGTCAGGCGAACATCAGCCCCAAAGGCAAGGAAGGTGTGGTTGCATTCCACGTGGACACATGACTGAGGACTGCTCAGGGTAGACACCAGTGTAAGACTGACATCACCATAGGCTTCCTGAAACTCAGTCGTGAGCAAGCAAAGGGAATTCTCAATTGCCATCTGGATGAATGGGGGCTTCAGACAAAAGTAGGTTGGAGAAGTTATCAGAGAGATCATGAAATACTAGTATTATTGTGCTTGAGTTACTTTTAAAAAATAATTGTAGGGGGTGGCATTGTGGCACAGCTGGTTAAACTACTGCCTGTGGCACCGGCATCCAATGTGACTGCTGGTTCCAGTCTTGGCTGCTCCACTTCTGGTCCAGCTTACTGCTTTTGCACCTGGGAAAGCAGCAGAAGCTGGCCCAAATACTTGGGCACCTGCCACCCATGTGGGAGACCTAGATGGAGTTCCTGGCTTCTGGCTTTGGCCTGGCCCAGTCCTGGCCATTGCAGCCATCTGGGGAGTGAACCAGTGGGTGGAAGATGGATCTCTCTCTCTCTCTCAACTCCACCTTTCAAATAAGTACATAAATCTTCTTTTAAAAAATAAATAATTGTAGATTAATATATTCTTGTAAGAAATAATACAGAGACATCCTTTGCATATTTTAACCAGGTTCTCCTATTAGTAACATCTTTCAAAACTCAGATAATATCATAAATTTGAGGATGAGTATTAAAGTGCAATAGATTAAGCTGCCACTTGCAATGACAGCATTCCACATCAGAGTGCCTGGTTCAAATTCAGACCACTTTGTGCTCCCAATCCAGCTTCCTGTTAATGCACCTGGGATGCAGCAGATGACTACCAGGTACTGGGGTGCCTGCCATGCACATGGGAGACCCAGATGGAGCTCCTGGCTTATAGTTTCAGCCTTACTCCTTCCCAGTTGTTGCAGGCTTTTGGGAGTGAACCAGCAAATGGGAAATCTCTCTCTCTCTCCTTCTCTCTCTCTCTCTCTCTCTCTCTCTGTCACTCTGCCTTTCAAATAAATAAATCTTTAAAATATAAACTGGAGGGGCATTATTATGGCTTAGTGGGTAAGCCACTGCCTGCAATGCCACCATCCCATGTGAGTGCCAGTTCAAGTCCCAGCTGCTCCACTTCTGATCCAGCTCCCTGCTACTGTGCCTGGGAAAACAGCAGAGGATGGTCCAAGTGTATGGGCCCTTGCTACCCACATTGGAGACCTGGAAGAAGCTCCTGGCTCCTGGCTTCTAGTTGCAGCCACGTGGGAATAAACTAGTGGATGGTAGACCTCTCTCTCTCCCCCTCTCCTTGTGACTCTTTTAAATAAATAATTTTTTTAAATCTTAAAATAAAATAAAAATATAAACTGTATACTCTATGTTTTTTAAAGATCTCTTTGTTGAAGGATATCTAGGTTCCTCCCAGTTACCAGCTACTATGAAGAGAGCTGAGCTGGTTAAAATTTTGTGTATAGGTTTTTGAGCTAAGTGTTAGTCTTCATTTCTCTGGGATAAATGCTAAGGAGTACAATTGCTGAATTGCATGTTTAGCTCCATGTTTAGTTTTTAATGAAACTGCTCAACTTTTCCAGTGTGGCTGTACTATTTTACATGCCCATAAGCAATGGATGAGTGATCCAGTTTCTCCACATCCTTTCCAGTATTTGGTGGTGTCACTATTTTTTAGTCACCCTAATAGGTATTTGGTGATATGGCATTATTTCAATTTACATTTTCCTAATGGCTAGTGATGCTGAACATGTTTCATGTGCATAATTATGGAATGCAGGTTTTCATCTATGAAATGCCAGCTCATATCTTTTGCCCATTTTTATCACTGAGTTGTTATTGATTATTGAATTTTGAGTTATTTAAATTCTAGTCCATTTTTGGATGTGTGGCTTACAAACATTTTCTCTCTTTAGCCTCTTTTCATCTTCTTGGTGGAGGTTTGCACAGAGCAAAAGTTTTTAATTTTGAAGAAATCCAAGTTATCAATTTTTTAAATTTATGGATTGTGCTTTTTATGTTAAGCCTAAGAACTCTTAGTCCAGCCTAGATCCTGAAATTTTCCCTGATTTATTTTAAAAAGTTTTATAGTTTCACATTTAAGTCCATGATCCACTTTGAGTTAAATTTTGTGTAAAGAGTGAGGTGGATTAAGAGATTTTTTTTTCCTAGTAGTAGATGTCTACCTGTTCCAATATCACTTGTTGAAAAGGGCATCTTTTACCTATTAAATTGCTTTTGTGACTTTGCCTAAATCAATTGGCAAATTGATGTGGCTCTATTTCTGTGTTCTGTTCCATTGATTCCGTGTCTGTCCCTTACTGATACCACAGTTTTGATTACCATAGCTGTATAGGGAGCCTTGAAAACTGGCCAACTGTTTCTCCTACTTTATTCTTCTTTTCCAAAATTGCCTTAACTATGCTAGTTGCTTTTGCATTACTGTATAAACCTCAGAATAGTCCTGCTTATATTTACAGAAAAAAAATCTTACTAGGAATTGCATTCAATTTATATGTCAACTTGGGGAGAATGACACACTTACTACATTGAGGCCTCTAATTCATGAATATGGTATAGGTCTCCATTTATTTAATCTCCTTTGATTTCTTTCATCAGCATTGCATAGTTTTCTGAAAACTGAAAACTTGTACAGGTTTTGTTAGATTTATACAGCATATCTGAACTATTTCAGCAATTGTAAGGAACATTATATTTTTAATTTTAGCATCTACATGTTTATCGCTAGTAGAGAGATAGATATACAGTTGATTTCTCAATGTTTCTCTTGGATCTTTAAACCTTGTTAAATTCATTTATTAGTTCCAAGAAGTTTCTATTTTATTTATTTTAGAGTCCTTGGGATTTTCTATGTAGACAATCAGGTCATCTGCAAATAATTTCTTCCTTTTCAGTCTGTATGCCTTTGCATTCTCTCCTGTTTTCTTATTGCACAACAAGAAATTCCAGCGCTATTTGGAATAAGAACTTAACAGCCTCCTTTCTCTCACCTTGCCGCTTCTTTGTTTCTCACTCTTAGGGATTTGTCTGTCTTCCCATTTGGTTCTAGCACATATTTTCAGCTCTATCATTTCAGACAGACAGGCTTAAGATTTCTTACCTCGCTAGTGGATTGCCCCTGTGTCTACAACTCATTCTGGAAGTCCCTCTCCTTTCTGTTCTTTCATTTCTCCTTCCACGTGTCTTCCTTCTACTGTTCCCAGGACCTGCGTCCTCTCCTGTTACACCCCCCTGAGGTCTTCCTTTGCCGTCATTCTTCCCTCCCTGACCTCCTCGCCTGCATCTCTTTCTCTTTCTTCCCCTCTGGTTCCCAACCACTTCCTTTCTTCTAAAGCAAAGGGCACCAGGCAGAAGCACAGCTGGCGGCTGCAAGGAACGTCTTTGGTGACCAGCGGGTGGAGGGGCAGCTTTCTCTCCCTTCGTGAGTTTTGCTGGGACTAGGAAAGGCGAGGGTGAAAGGCGTCATCATCACCCGTATTTGTATAATGATTCGACCGGAGCTAGCCTGCAATGCCTAACCAGGCCGGTCTTAATGCAAAATTGCTCAACTTTAGTGCATTGCATTCAATCTGTCCAACACGGTGGTTTTTGAATGAATTTTCTTGTCGTTAGTGTAGGCCACTCTGTCCTATTCAGTGCCATCAAAACCTTAACTTAAGCTGATCTTCTGTATATTAAGATAATAGAAAATTAATCTTGATGTGAATGGAAGGGGAGAGGGAGTGGGAAAGGGGAGGGTTGTGGGTGGGAGGGACGGTATGGGGGGGAAAGCCATTGTAACCCATGAGTCGTACTTTGGAAATTTATATTCATTAAATAAAATATTAAAAAAAAAAAAAAAACCTTAACTTAAGTGTCCCCATGTCTGTGGTTCAAAGCCAACAATGATGAGATCCACTGGCTTTGTGCCCTAGCACAAGTACCTGCCCAGAGCAGGAGCCTCTGACAGTGGTTCTTAAAGAATCACAGGGATCGCTGGTAAAATAGGGCTTCCCAGGCCCAGCAACCAGGGTAGGGAACTGAGTGAGGCTGGGGCTCAGGAATCCACATTTGTCTGAATCACACGACCACACCCCATGATTCTGACACAGCAGATCTCAAACCACACTCTGGAAACACTGCTCCAGATGGCTGTCAGTTCATCCCAAGTGATATGGCACAGCTTCTCTGACCCCTGGGTCCATGTGGGCCCATTAGGCTCTGCTACTGATGGTCTAAGAGAAAAATATGAATAATAGTAAAAAGCAAGTGAGAAAGTGAGGAATTACCTCTGAGGATTAAATATAATTTAACTCTGACCTCTCCTCAGCACACACTACCAGGTTTTGTTTGTTTTCAGGTAGACGTAATTGTGTACCTCTCCCAGGCATGTGAAGCACACCCTTCCCATGAGCACAC